AGAAAAAGAACTGGAAAAAATCATGAAATATCACGACCTGGCCATCAAAACTACACGGCTATGGATGAAACATGTCACAGTGATACCCATTGTCATTGGGGCACTTGGTACCATGTCCAAGAATTTTATAACATAAATCAGCAAATTGCAGCTTCCTGCAATAACACCAGCGGAACTGCAAAAAACTGTGCTACTTGGAACATCGTACATCTTAAGAAGGTACTTGGTTGATATTGGTTGATGTTGACTCATGACGGTTGCAGTGTCCCAGAGTCACACAACCCCCTTTTGTGACCTTTTGACAAGCCAAGTCAAGGGAGAAGCCAGATTCACTTAATAACCCCGTTATAGCTTAACAACTAAATGATTTACTTAACTGTGGCAAGGAAGGTAATAAAACAGGGCAAAGCTCACTTAGCAAATGTCTCGCTTAACAACAGAAATTTTGAGCTCAATTGTGGTCGTAAGTTGAGGAGTGCCTGCTAAAGATCTTGTCCACAGCAAGTTTCTGGGTAGATTCTAACTGAGGTCTACCTGGATGACTTTCATAACTGGGGATGTTCGATATTGGGACCATCTAGGAGCCTTCTCAAACCTTCTTGGGCCAATTCCAATAGGAAATTCATCACAGACACTCTTGGCTGAATTTGTACATACGCTGGGAAGAAAAACGATCTTACCTGGGATACTTTGCAGCAAAGACGCAAGAAAGCGAATCGCCTTCTGAAGCAGGAAGTTGGTGAAAGAAACGAGGAGGAAAAGCATTTTCACGATGCTGAGCTGGGAGAAAATGGCAAGCCCCAAATAGCCAGAGACTGCGAGTCAGAGAGAGCCAAAATGCTCTTTGATAGGAGACGCAGGGCAGTGATGAATATCTGATGGCTTAGCGCAGCATTTCACAATAAAAGCCTCCAGGACTGAACAAGTTTAGCAGACAAGATGGCATTACGTTGGCAGAAACAGGAGGGCACAGACCTCTTGTGTCAAGTTTGGGCAAATCACTTTTCGGGGGAGGAAAAACAAAATTATAGCAGACTTAAATTGCGAGACCTGACACGATTAAGACATCATCTCTGTCTGCTTCTAATGCATCATTGATCTATTGAATGAATATATCACATCCAATTATTAACCATTCAGGCTGGGTGTGTCCAGGCACCAGAGTAAAGTGCAGTTGGCTAGTTGGCACTTTGATGTCACTTTTGAACAACACCACAAGGAAACTGGTTCAGTTGGTGGGTGAGAGTTGCTGAAGAATGCCAGGCACCTGCTGTGTATTTTTGTCTATCCTAAACCAGGGAACATCTGTCTTCCCTCCCAGGGAAATCAAAGCCCTTCTTACAGTAGTTTGCTTCTGAAGTGGGCAACTCATTCCTCCAGGCAAGCCGAGCATGTAAAAAAACAATGCCCGGAGGAGGAAAATGTTGCTTTGAGGTCTGCAAGGTTGCAGTCTCCATCTCTCCTTTTGCCCAGGGCTCTTGCTAGCAATTTAGAACAGACCAAGACCAACAGGAACTACCGTATTTTTCGGAGTATAAGACGCACCTTTTTACCCCCCAAAAGGGGGTGAAAATTTAGGTGCATCTTATACACCGAATGTAGCCCTGCCCACCCACTGGCCCCACCCTTTAGCCTGTGCCTCACAGCAGTTACCTTCTTGCAAACAGCAAGAAAAAAACAGCCCCTTTCAGCTTCAGCATAGGTTAATTAGCACAAGTTGATTAGACCGGCCTCCCGACACTCAGCTGATTTGCTCTCAGCTGTTTTGCGCAGGGCTCTCCTGCTTGCTGCAGAGTGCTGGAGCAGATTTTTTTTCCCTAGCTATGCTGAAAAAACAAAACTGAAAGTAAAGCAGGGTCTTTGCTGCAACGTGACAAAATGAGGCAGAGAGAGATTTATTTTTGTTTTTCCTCACCAAAAAAGGTAGGTGCAAACAATAGGAAATTTAAGGCAAAAGAGGAGAGTTCAAGATTTTAAAACACAAAAGAAAAAAAGCTCTATTTAACTAGGGAATTGTAATAATTGATTTTTTTTTAATTTTTTTTTATTATTAAAATATAAACACAGATATAAAGACAATACAATACAATACAAAGACAAACAAAAAACCCACCACCTACAAACCCACCTAACATTTTACATATACGTTTTTGTCATCAACAGAATATATGTCATTGAGCTTATATAGTTTAATAAAGAGTAATTATTAAATATCTGATTCCAATGTTATAACCTTACACTACAAGTTTACATTATTTATGAGTTCATCTCCTTATGCAAGTCTTTACCCTAATTTCTGTCCTCTACATTTTTGCTGATTTTCCTTTCCAGCCATTGATACCATTGGTGCCATACAAGATAGTATTCGCTTTCTTCCTTTTCCTGGAGTTCCAGCGTCAATCTGTCCATTTCAGCACACTCTGTTATTTTTGCAACAATTTTGTCTTTGGATGGGAGTTGGTCTAATTTCCAGTTTTGAGCGAACAGTAGTCTTGCTGCTGTCAAGATATGTATGATAAGATATTTCGTTTCCTTAGGATATTGTGCCGTTATCATGCCAAATAAAAAGAATTCTGGACTATTTTCTATTTGAATGTTCGTTATTTCTTCAATAATATTTTTTATATCTTGCCAATAGTGTTGGGCTTTCCTACATTTCCACCAAGTGTGGTAATATGTCCCCTTTTTTTATTTACATTTCCAACACAATGCCGAAGTGTTTGGGTGTATTTTGGCAAGTCGGGCTGGTGGTAGGTGCCATCTATAAAACATTTTAATGAGGTTCTCCTTGTAAGATGTGGCTCTTGTCATTTTAATGTTCTGCTTCCATAATTTCTCCCAATCTGCCAATTGAATATTATGTCCTATGTCCCTGGCCCACATTGTCATGTTATGTTTAACTGTTTCTTCTATTAATTTGTCTCTCAAAAGGTAGTTATATGTTTTATGCAGCCCTGGGAGCGCTTTTTCCCCTCCGACCGGAGGTCCCTGGTGCTCTGCACACACTGAGGAGCCCTTTCTTCCTCTCTCTCGCTTCCCCCCCCATCAAAACGCCCCATCACATGTGCAGCTGGTGGGAGGTGCTGAAAGCTGCGCAGTGCAAGACCCGGACCGGTGGGCAGGCGGTGGCGCCATGGCAATGGCTCCTCTCTCAGGTGCCACCACACGTGTGCGGAGAGAGGGAGGGCAGGGGGGAAGAGAGAGAGAGAGATGCTCGGAAGCTTTGGCCCTACCCCTCTGGCCGGCCTTGGAAAAGGAGGCAGGGTGGGAGGCGGGGCCGAACACGTGGCAGGGAATGCCCGGGCGCTGGCACGGGCCTGGAAAAAGCCGGTGCAAAAGTTGGCCCTGCAGCTGGCATGGCTGTTTCCATCTCTGGGGAGTTGCAGCGAGCTTTCATGCCACCCGCAGGATATCTCCAGCCCTGGGCAGAGGCCAGCTGCCCAAGGGGCAAGACTGAGCTGGCTAGAGTGACCAGGTGTCCAGCCAAAGGTGGACATGCCCTCTTTATTTGTAGGTGGCCTTAAAGTCAAATATTGTCCGGGCTTTTGAGTACTGCATCTAGCTGAGCTTCCCTGCAAAGCCCCACCCAAGTTAACAAGCAGTGCCTGAAACTGACAAGAGCATAATCAGTTTACAGGCCGAGGGCTTTGGACCCTTCCCTTACCCTCCTTGGCATCTTCCTCCCCCGCCTCCCCCCAGACTCTGCTTTGCTCCCTTGGGAATTCCTTCCTCTGTCATTAGTGTAAATGCAAACACAACACTGGATAAGATGAGATTGTCCTGGCATGTTTGACTTCTTGTTTTTTTTTTGTTTGTTTTAATGTTAATGGGTTTTTAATCGTTTTTAACAGCGCTTTGTGTGCTGTGTTAACTTTTGATTGGGAGCCACCCAGAATTCCAGGATCCAATTGTAGGAGTTGAAGACAACACATCTTCAGCTTGCCAAGAGGGAGAAATATTGCCATAGGCAGTTCAACAGATCTTCCCATCAGGAAATCTTCGCTTATATTCAAATGAAAACTTGGCAGCTGCAATTTACACCAGTTGGTTCTGCTCCTACTTATGAAAGACAATTCCTGGCCTCCTTCGTGGCGTCTGGAATTCTGGTGTCTTGTGGTCTCTTCCCTTAAGTCTCCAGACTGAAACCTTTCAAATGCCTTAGGAATCCCGAAGGCACCACCCCATCCCTCTTTTCATCTGCTGGGGCCTCTCTGCCCCTTAGATGGCCAGCCCAAGCAAGAGTGGAGATTGAGAAAAGGGTGGATTCCCCCCAAATGAAGAAGGGCCACCCTTGCAGAGAGATGGGTTCAAAGAACTTTGAGAAGGTGGGACCTCAAGGGTGAGTCAGCTACAGCTTGAATTCGGTCAATGTTTGATGGACTGAGATGCCGTGGGTACAAAGAAAAAAAAATATTTATCTGGTACGATTGCCAAGATTTCTCAATAGTATCTGAAGGGCTCTGAGCCAGGTTTAGACAAAGTTCAAACCTGATAGTCAGGCCACGAGGACCAAGCAGGGGTGAAATGCTCCCAGTTCGACCGGATCGCCTGATCTGGTAGCGATGGCGACGGGCGGTTCGGAGAACTGGTAGCAAAAATCCCTGCCCCCACCCCATGCCCAGCTGAACCGCGCGATCATCAGGCGCTTTTTTTTTTTACTTTTAAAAGCATTTTTTCTACAACCTCTTCAGTTGTAGAAAAAATGCTTTTAAAAGGTAAAAAAAAAGCCTCTGATGATCCCAGCTGAGCAGCACGATCATCAGAGGCTTTTTTTTTTTTTACTTTTAAAAGCAATGCTTTTAAAATTAAAAAAAAGATTGCACGCCACAGCTGATCACCCCCCCTCGCGCGCTGTTCTACTTACCACATGCCTCCTTCTGGCATGTATTGCGTGCACACACCTCGCATTTGGTGTGTGTGCGCACTGCGCATGTGCAACCAGCAAACCGGTAATAAACTGGTTCAGATTTTACCGCTGGGACCAAGAATGACCCATGGAGTTACTAGAGAGTGATTTATTTTATTATTCTTCACTTACAGACAGACTCTTGCCAAACTAAAGCAGCTATCTGCATAACTGCAGATAAACTCTGGAAATCGCTAGGAAGGAGCCCTTTTAACCCTCCACCAAACTTCCGCTACCCCTTTGCCATCTGGGATGCAGTCTCTCCCTCCTGGGAATCCAGATTAGGTCCCATCATAAATTAAGTCAATTAATAGAAAAATATACTATGTTTAGCAAAGCCTCTTTTTTAAATTAGAAAAGCTCATGTATCTGGGTAATAAGCCCCAGAAGGCAAGACAAGAAACCACGGATGGAAACTAAACCAGGAGGGAAGCAACCTGGAATTCAGGAGAAACTTCCTAATAGTGGGGACAATTAACCAGGTTGCCTTCAGTAGTTGTGGGTGTTTCATCACTGGAGGTTTTTAGGAAGAGACTGGACAGGGTCTCCTGCTTATGCAGGGAGTTGGACTAGAAGACCTCCAAGGTCCCTTCCAGCTCTATTCTGATTGATTGATTATCACTTCCCACTGGCCAATATGCATCATAATTCTGAACGTCTTGCTTTGAATTAGAAAACTTGACTCAGATGAGAAAAATGGCTATTTCTCAGTGAATCAAAGTGGAGCCCGATTGGGGAGTCTAGGAAATCAAGGCACATCTAGAGGAAGTAGTTGGTCCACAGCGTTTTGGACACCACGGTGGAGATCCCCGAATCTCTGCTGTCTCAACAGGTGGCATTTAACTGGGGACAAAGCCCCCATGGAAGCCACAGGGGATCTGGACGGGGATCTCGGTGCGGCCCAGTTCGGTGAAATTCTCCGCATCCAGAACAAGAAGGAAGCTGCCTTCATTCTGAAAGAAAGAGGGATGTGGGATAACAGTTCCTCAGGGCTGCCTCCCCGTGCAAAGCATCTGCTTCTTCTGCCCTTCCAGGGGTTTTGGAGAAAGAAGAAAAGTAAACCATGAAGGCACAGAGGAGCTCCAAAAAGTCCCAGCATTTGGAAACGCCGAATGCCATGCCCCAGATGCAGCGTTCACCAGGAGGCAGGAGAAATTCATTTTCAGCCATCTAAAAGGAATATTCAAAGAGTAGGCCTTGACCTCTCCCGTGAGGACTAAATTACCTGCTTGGGGGTGAGCACCACCGAGAGGATCACTCCCTTGTCTTCTGCCGAAGAATCAGGTTCTGGCACAAATATGGGCTCAGAAGGATACATCCCTTTCTCGCGCCAAATCTGGTGGGCAAAGCAGAGGGCACAGAAGAGAATTTTTCTCAGGAGTTTTCAAGTCGAACCCTGTCAGAATATTCATGAACTGGAGAGGGGCATAGCAACAAGGTCAAGGGAGCTGAGACAGGAAGGAGCCTGGGCGTGGCTCTGTAGCTCTGTGCTCAGCTCTAAAATGAAACTAGTCTAGTCTGTCTGCTGAATTGAAATAAGAACTCATCTCTGCTGTTCTCTCCTCTGCCTGTGTTTTTTGCCTGTAACTCTACCAGTTTGGAAGAATCTGCCATTGGTATTGTATATTTATTTTCATGTGTTATATTGTATATAAAGAGAAGTTAATGAATCCTGCTGAATCAGTTACCTGTGTGTGCTTTCTGGATTTGATTTTGCAACAAACTCTGACAAACTCCATCCCCGCCACACCCGTAACAAAAGAGCATCGCTGGCCCCGATCTTCTCACCTTCACCTCCTTGGTTTCTGTATCAACCTTGATCAAGGAGTCTCCAACAACATGACTGAAGCCGCAGCCATAGAAATAACGGTATTTTTTCCCAGAGTAATGTGCATAATTGATGTGAGTTAATTCCACTCCTCCGGCTTCTTTGAGGTCCTCCTTGTGTAGACTTTCAGGCGTGCACCAGATCTAGAAGAATCAGCGCGGAATCAATTCTATCATAGAATCCTTACCCATCTATTATTTGGAGATGGTTTCCGAGTTTCTCCAGGAGCCTTTCCTGGCACACAATGCTTTATGTTTTTGGGCCCTTCCACTTGAAGGGTACAGGTAGTCATCAACTCACAATTCACAGAATTTCCATCGTTAAGCAAGGAGGTTGATAACTAACTCATACCCAATATTACAAACTTTTTTGCCCCCGTTCTTAAGCAAATCACTGCAGTTGTTAAGTGAATCACATGGATGTTAAGTAAGCCCTACTTCCCATACGGTTACTGCTTATTGGAAACTGGCTGGGAAGGTCGCAAATGATAGTCACATGACCCCGATGCCAAAATCGCCGTAAAACATCCAAATTTTGATCACGCGACTGTGAGGATTGCTGCAATGGTCATAATTGCAAGGACTGGTTGTAAGTTACTTTTTCCATGTCGTTGTAACCTTGAGCAGTCTATAAATGAATGGTTGTAACAGTCAAGGACTACCTCTAGATGATCTTCCCCATCCTCTGGAGGCAACATGCCTTTTTTTCTGAAAAGTGTTTCCTTTTTCATCGAATTGCAGAATTACTGCCATGGTCTTGAGGCCTTCAGTTCAGTTGACCGGTGGTGGCCGCAACAGAGTGGAGCCCTGACGAGCCACATGCTGGGGCTGTGATAACGTGCTGAAGCTGACCAGGCTGTTTGCTGTTTGCTGCAAGGATGCTAGGCAGATAAATACCAGATGGATGCTGGAGGCAGAGGAAATTTTTTTTTTCTTGTTTTCCTCCTCTAATGTGCATCTTATGGTCCAGTATGTCTTATAGTGCGAAAAATATGGTAAGTCCCACTATTTTTCCCAATTCTAGTTGCCGTTTGCAGGATGGTGAGATTTCCAAAGGATGACAAGAAAAACGGAATGCTTTCATTCTTTCTAAATTACACACACACATGCACACACGGACACAAATTACCTACCTTCCCATCCGCCTCCTTCACAGCTTCTGCCAGCGTGTAGGACAAAGGGTTAAGGTTCTGCCCCACAGATGCCTTGGAGCTCACCGTGATCGGGAGAACAAAGCGCCGTGGAAATGGCTTCGGGAACATGTTGTAAGTCTGCCGAGACAACAAAAAAAGCCATTGCACAGAGAAATAGAGCCATACTCTGTGATCACACCACAAGGCTGAAGAGCAGACAGGCCAAAAGGGAAGAGAACTTCTCCATCTTCCTTCACCTTGGAATCCCATCCTTGTCTAGGGCTGGAGCACCACTGTCCAACGCCCCTGGGAGATACCAAGCTAGTCTACAAGATGAAGCTCCCTTTCAGAGCCCACCATGTGGAGGGCAGAGCAGCGGTACCTGGTCAAGGGCTTCTCTAGCCTTATGGAGGTTCTGCAGTCGGTAAATGTCAAAAACATTCCCATCTTCAAAACAGCAGAGATCCAGGACGATACACCCCTGGTCCTCAAAGGTGTTGATATGATGGAAACAGCAGAAGGCCTTGCTATGATAATGCAAGGTAATATCTGCAAGAAGAGAGGAAGACATGGGAGTGAATTGCTGCCTTTTGGGGATACCCAAACAATTGGTCCTGGGCACAACTTCTTAAAAATCTTTGCTTATATGTCAGGGTGATGCTTGAAAGGATTTTAACGTATGGGCAAAGCAAGGAGGTTTCGAAGTGATCTTTCCAAATCTGATGTTCTCCAAAGATCTCAGGACCTCTCAACTCTCCCACCATTCTCAGCCACTCTGGCCAATAGCACAGAGGCATTCTGGGAGCTGCCACCCCAAAATAATCTGGGGAAAACTTTGGTTTGCTCATTGATACCTTCTACCACCCAGGAAGAGAAGAGCAACAGTCTTGTCGGCCTCACCCTGCAGACCCCAGAGAAGACGTATCAGGAAGTCACCAGAGCTAGCCAAACAGGTGACCTACCTGTCCCGTGTGCTTGTTCACGACATAAAAGCGAGTGTTTAGCTGAGGCTCCCAACTCAGTCCATCCAGTAAGGATTTCCCCCAAAAATTGGCTGTAATGATCTCCCACAACTTTATTAGGAGGGGCTGCTCAATAAAAACCACGTAGTTTTCAGTCATTCCTAGAAACAGAAGAAGAAAAGAGTTGGGCCACTTCTTTTCATGAAGAGCTGATTCTATTCGTCCATCTAATTATGTGGACATTTCCAACAACAAGGCTGCCTTATCTTTCTACCTGCCGGCTTCATCCTTTGTTGCCAAAACAGTTTCAGGTTAGTCACCATAACAGCCAGTAATTTCAAATTATCCAATTTAACACTCTGTGGATCAAATTTAATGCCTTAGGGTTCTACTACATCACCTACTTAGGAATTGCCACGCTTTTTTTAATCAACAATTCTTAAAAAAGGAATTGCCAGACTTCATTTAGCAACCCCCCTTCCAGCTTCCAATGGCAGGCCAGTGATTGGGGTACTGCCAGGAGCCAACACTTTTTGTTCAGTTTCATAGTTTTACTGACATTGTTTTTAAAGCATCTCTCAGGGCATGATTTCAATTTCAATTTATTATGGCCACCAGCTAGCAAAAGATGTTACATTGTTTTATATGAACTGCTCTGGTGGATCATTCGTGGCTTGGAGCAATGAATTTCATTAATTTAATCTTTCCTATTACTTTTCCTGTTCTACTTGATTTTATTCCGGCAGCGTGATAGATCACATTGATGGCATTCCAAATTATCGGCCCACTTTTCATCATTTCACTTTTGCAACTCTAGCTGCCTCTTTCTGGCATTTCCAGAAAAACTTAAAAGGAGGAGGGTCCTCTCACCAAAACTGTGATAATAGGCTGGCTTCATTCTGTTCCTGGGTTGAATGGTGCACAACACTTCTGCGCCTTGCAGGCTGGAGTCACTAGGCTGAGACTTCTGGGGAGGAACACGGATGATGTTATAGTTGGAGCCTGTAAGAGAGAAAGCCCAGCTCTTTGGAACTGCGATTCCAGTTAATCAGCTGCAGATGGATTGGGGAATTGAGCTCAGCAGGGCTGGTGTGCTATAAACAATGCTTCCTATGAACAATACATGAATTTGGAATTGAGGTATGGACAGCACCATCCAAGGTTTGGAAGGGGGGACCACCGATATGATGCACTGTAAGAGAAATCCACAGCCACTTCATCTTCACTCCAGTGTAAAATTCAGACATGTGATCCATCAGATGCTACTTCACGTTTTCCAGGTCCTCTGATCCAGTTAAAAGGGCTGTAACATCTGACTCAAAACCTATGCGTCTACTCATTGGAAAAATACTTATATCATCCTTGAATTGACATTTTTTGATGTTAAGTAACTGTCCGTTTGGCGTGAAAAGCCAAGAATAGCCTGGGTTGGTAGAAAGGGAGGCAGTACTCACCAATGAATTAGAATCTAATTCCAGACATTAAAATGCTAGTCAGATACCGTATTTTTCAGAGTTTAAGACGCACCTTTTTCCCCCCTAAAAGGGGGTGAAAATTTAGGTGCGTCTTATACACCGAATGTAGCCCCGCTCACCCACTGGCCCCCACCCTTTGGACTCTGCCTCCCGGCAGAGGCAGAGTCCAAGCAGCAAGCGGCAAGAAGAAACAGCTCGTTTCAGCTTCAGCATAGCCTAATTAGCACAAGTTGATTGGATCGGCCTCCTGACTCTCAGCTGTTTTGCTCTCAACTGTTTTGCCCGGGCCTCTGCTGCTTGCTGCAAGGTGGTAAATTGCTGGGAGCAGATTTTTTTTTCTTGTACTAATCAAGCTATGCTGAAAACAAAAATGAAAGTAAAGCAGGCTATTTGCTATTTGCTGCAAGAAGGCAAAATTGCTGGGAGGCAGAGGCAGAGGCAGATTTCTTTTTCTTGTTTTCCTCACCAAAAAAGGTACGTGCGTCTTATAGTCCAGAGCATCTTATACTCTGAAAAATACAGCACTTCTGTTTGTCTTACCATGCGTCCCATAAGAGCTGCCCATGTTGTAGACTGTTCCATCTGGATCATAGTGGGGGTGGGCTGTGGCTCCATTCACTGCAACATATTTTTTCCAGTTCACCTGCAAGGACAAAGATGGCAGGTCATCTTACCTGAGTTGGACACCTTCCAGATAGAACTGAAGCTCTCAGAATTCCCACACCGGCTGAGAGGTGATCATCACCAACATCTGGACCAAACCAGGGTAGGGGAAGCTGAACTCAACAACTCATTGTGAAACATTATCGTCCTCTTTCTGTGGCTAAAAGCTGTTTTGTGGGATGGCCATGACTAATAGGATGAGGGCAACTATTCTTTCCCACGTAGGTTTCCCAGCAACTGTTCCAAAGGGCATATCTACTCCTGAACCTGGAGGGAACATTGGAACATTTGTAGAAGATCCAGATTGAGTCTTCAGCATCTCCAGAGCTCCTGGAAAACTGCCTGTCAATCCAGATTTGGGTAGTAGTGGATGAGATGGTGAAATAGGCTAACCCAATGCCAGGTAACCTGCTCCGTTCCTTTACCTTCTCCTTTGATTCAAGCGTGTCCAGATCCACCTTGTGCATTTGACTGGTCTCTCGTGCTGACAAAATAGTCGCCTTTGATGACCACAAAATTCACAACGCAGTTGTCCGTCTCTTCTGCAGTATAAAATTCACCTCATTGGAGTGTCGTAAATTCAATACAGAAAGCATTTCCATTGTCACCAACTTGCCAGGATCAAAAGACTGAAAGTGTAGGAGATGGCAGAACTGGGGCAGAGTCAAAAGAGGAATCAGCCTAGAACTTTTATGTAGTCACAAATGGACTTAGTCTGTTCTGCCACTCCTTCTCTTAAAGACAATTTCTGTAAAATTGTGAAATTGTCAGGGACAGAGTTGGAAAACAAATGGAGTGTCAACTTTGTCCAGTTTTCCCACTCTCCCTTCCCACTTCTTACAAAAAAATTTTTGACGGCGTGTCCTTCAGCATTTCCCTTATGGAAACTTCAGATGCAGAATATGAGCGAAACTGATCCAAAAATGATACTTACTTAACAAGTCAAATTTTGACATGAAGCGCTCAAAAATGTTCTTGCAAGGATCTGGCATGGCCAAGGTGCCAAATTCAGAGATCATGATTCGGTTGTTCTTGCTGTTGGTCAGGTAAGAATCACTCCGGAGAAACTTGCTGCTGTATTTCACCACCCCATCTCCAATTTCAAACTTATGCATGAGTGCCATGCCATCAAACCAGTGGTTGTACCTTCATTTGGAAAAGACAAATACAGATTAGAGAAGGAGAAAGCCATGTGCAAAGCTTACCCTACCAGTTCCAATCATCCACTCTATTTATTAGATGACAAAAAATGACCCTTTCGGTAGACAAGTGCACACAAAGGGCAAATCAGTTGTAAAGACTGTAATTTTTGCAAAGATATGATTTTTGAATTGTTAAAAAGGTCTTTCTAAAGAAGACAATCCCTCTCAAAAAAGTTTATTACTAGATCAGCTTTTGCCACATCCTTCGTCGTCATTATATCTCCCTTAAATCAAGAAAATATGTATTCAAGGATTCTTTCTTCCTAAAACACAACTGATTGGTAGAATTACTGAAGCACATGAATGGAGAAAATTGATCAAGACTGCAGACGAGAATAAAATTATCTACTGCCTTTTAATCCTTAGCAGAGCAGACAGCAGCATCCATAGCAATTGAAACAGGCATACTTATCTGGTCCGAATTCGAATTTTCCTGGCCCGTTCCTCAGTAGCTTTCCTTTCAACCATTTGGGAATCTGCCCTTGGAGTTTTACTGGGATCGCTTGAGGTGTTTCTTGTACGGTGGAGAATAATGGTGAGATGCATTCTAAGCCCTTCTTGTGGCTATAAGTAACCGGTGATTTCGTCTTGGGTAGCAGCTTTTTTATCACTGCAAAGACAAACTGAGCAATTAACAAAGAGGAAGGGGTTACCATCTTGAGTGCAATCCTAAAATTACCACTTCATATTATGCACAGAGGCCAACTACAAGTTTAGGAATTGGCTGAGTAAGAGGAAAGAAGGATGGCTTAAAGAACTAGGAAAGAAAGGTGCATAAAGCAAAAAAAAAAGGGGGGGGAGAAGAAATTAGCAATGACTTTTGAAAAGTTAATTTGATCTGATCCTGTAGCCCAGCTCTTTCCTTCATTCCTACGCAGGCAGATCTGAACTGAATCTGAATTGATGTGTCCAGATATTGCTTTAATATCTGAAATTTTTGGGAGTGGAATTCTGTCTTTGCCCCCTATTGCCCCATAACGTGCTAATGTCAGAAAAACAGAGTAATTTTTCAGTATTAAGAAGAAAATGCAACAATTTCTAGAATTTTGTTTAGGAGTTCCAAATACACAAGGAGTTCAATTGGTGAACTTAAATCAGTACTCAACACAGTTCAACTGTTCGGCAGCGACATCAAAATGAACTTTCAACTTGAAATATATTATTCATGCAGCAAGGAAAAATGGAAAAAATAGAAGGAATAGAACTGGGAAATGGAAACATAGAAAAAGGATTAGCAAAGGATGATGGTTACAAATACGTAGGCATATTGGAAACAGATAACATCTTGAATGGGAAAGTCAAAGAGTCAACGCAAAAGGAAAAAAAGGGAGAGAAAAGGAGAAGCAAATCAGAACAACAAAGGAGAGAAATCATCTATCCATCGTCTCTTGTCCACTTCAATACTTTAGTTGCTATGCTTTTTTTAATTTGCCTCCCACATTCCTCTCTGGGATCTTTATCCCTATCTGTAACTGCTTCTTGGCTATTCAATCTAGGTATTTCTCCCACCTCTACCCTCTTCCACTGCCTAGTTTCCAAAATTTCTGCCCAGATCCCCATCTCCCTTTGAAACGTATCTTCCAACTCTCTTAATACATTTTCTCCCTGGTTTAATTCATCAATCACTGTGGTGATTGTGGTCGTAAGTCGAGGAGTGCCTGCTAAAGATCTTGTCCACAGCAAGTTTCTGGGTAGATTCTAACTAGGGTCTACCTGAATGACTTTCATAACTGGGGCCTTCGATATTGGGACAATCTAGGAACCTTCTCAAACCTTCTTGGGCCAATTCCAATAGGAAGTTCATCATAGACACTCTTGCTTGAATTCGTATGTACGCTCCATCCTGAAAGATTGCCAAATACGCTCATATTTGTATAGAATAGAATAGAATAGAATAGAATAGAATAAAAATCTTTATTGGCCAAGTGTGATTGGACACAAAAGGAATTTGTCTTGGTGCATATGCTCTCAGAGTACATAAAAGAAAAGATACGTCTACTGGGGAAAGCAGATAAAATGTTAAGCGGAGTGTTTTATATTTTGAACAATTTCCTCTATACAAAAACTACTGTTCTTGCATAGCAATCTGGCTGTGGAGACAACATTCCTGGTTTACACCCTCCTTTCTTGGCTGATCCTGAAAAAAATCATTCCAAGGCTGTCAGATCAGTTGGGAAGTGAAAAAATCAAAAATCCATGCAAAGGGAAGGCATGTTGGTTATTTGCACATTATTCCTAGAAGATTGCATGAATCATCACAATTCAAACTTAATCTGTCTATAGCTTGTAATCATCAGGATTTGCCTTCTGACCGGCCCCAACTGCAATGTGATCTCTGTGGATCTCTGTGAATCTTACATGGCTCAAAAGCTTTTTTCAAAAACTGCTGTTAGCAGAAAATGGGAAGAAAAACAGTCTTACCTGGGGTATCTTGCAGCAAAGACGCAAGAAAGTGAATCGCCTTCTGAAGCAGGAAGTTGGTGAAAGAAACGAGGAGGAAAAGCATTTTCACGATGCTGAGCTGGGAGAAAATAGCAAGCCGCAAATAGCCAGAGACTGAGAGCCAAAAAGCTCTTTGACAGGAAGCACAGGGCAGTGATGGAATATCTGTTGTCTTAGCACAACGTTTCACAATAAAAACCTGCCTCCCCCTTTCAGGACTGAACAAGGTTAGGAGATAAGGCAGCATTAAATTGACAGAAACAGAAGGGCACAGACCTCTCGTGCCAAGTTTGGACAAATCACTTTTTGAGGGAAGAGAAACAAAATTATACCATAGCAGACCTAAATTGTGAGATCTGACATGATTAAGATATCATCTCTGTTTGCTTCATAGTTCATTATTGATCTATTGAATTAATATATCACATCCAATTATTAACCATTATTAACCTAATTCAGGCTGGATGTGTCCAGGTCACTAACATGCAGTTGGCTAGTTGGCACTTTGATGTCACTTTTGAACAAAACCACAAGGAAACTGGTTCAGTTGGTGGGTGAGAGTTGCTGAAGAATGCCAGGTACCTGCTGTGTATTTTTGTCTATCCTAAACCAGGGAACATCTGTCTTCCCTCCCAGGGAAATCAAAGCCCTTCTTACAGTAATTTGCTTCTGAAGTGGATAACGCATTCCTCCAGGCAAGCCGAGCGTGTAAAAAAACAATGCCCGGAGGAGGAAAATGTTGCTTTGAGGTCTGCAAGGTTGCAGTCTCCATCTCTCCTTTTGCCCAGGGCTCTTGCTAGCAATTTAGAACAGACCAAGACCAACAGGAACTAACTTCTTGTTCACATTCTCCACTTTTAAAAAATTCTTCCTAAACTTTCCCTCAGCCTTCTCTGTTCTCTATGTTTATTACAGCCAAACCTCCATATTTCCACAACAGAGACTTTAATCGATTAAGGGGGGAAAAGGGGTTTTCTCCTAGATTTATACTCTGCCTTTCCTTCAAAAGTTCAAGGCAGCATACATTTTACCAAGTTAAAAGCATCATGTTAAGGACTTTGTCCTTCGGCACTTTTCTTGTCTGCTATAACTGCTAAATATGAGTAATTAAATCTGTTTCAGCCATAGTCTTTTTTTATGCACAGGCTCTAGGGTGACAGATCTACATCCTGGGCACACATCAATAATATCACCATGATTTTGTATTATTCCTATCTTGCTGCAGGTCCAAAGAAATAATGCTTCAATTATTCTGATACAATCGTAAAAATAGCCTCACTCCTTCAAACTTAACCATTTTCCTACAACCAAAAGTATGAGCAAAGTCTGTTTGGATGAGGGCCAGGCAAATTTTAAGCCATGCCTTTGGAAGACGTGTTTATATTGAGAGACAAAACTTCTGTTTCTTTTGATCCACATCTGGGTGCACAAGATGAGAGACTTGAATTATTGCTCAAAAGCAGCTAAAGGAGCTTCTCACCTGATGTTTCAAGCATGGACTACAGCCACCTCTCAGCCACTAATCTGACTGGTGACCATTCACAAATAGGACAGTAATAAAAATATTCATTTTCTGAACAACGCAGCAGACACGACAACAAAAGTATTCAATATGAAACTGATTTAAGCCTGGTCATGAAACTGACCAGACAAAATTGAAGATCGTTTCTGATCTATTGGGGATGCTTTACTTTAACAATAGGATGGGAAAGATTTGAAGATATTATTCTGATCAGATATTTCAGGTTTAAGCTTAAATAATGTACAACCCACTAACACCTGAAAGCAGATTATGGAAAGAAAAATAGCAGTTAGATGTTCAAAAGCAATGAAAAACAAGGGAACCATGTTGGAGGTGGAAAATATAATGAACAGTTTAATCATAATACCTATACATATGTATAATTATCCCATAAGATTAACATCAAATCATGATTTTATTTTGGGAGGTCTATAATGCACAAGCAAAATAAGAACATTATTACAATTTTCTTCCTTTGTATTTTATTTTCATTTCAAGTCACCAACATTATAAAATAGAATTCTTTTTCCAAAAGGAAAAAAGAACACAATAATAAAATATAAGGAAAGAAAAACATCACTTTCTAAAACTATTTAGGGAAAACAAGTTTTTAGTCTTATATATAAGTTTCTCAAAGTATAACGAATACAACCCAGCCAAAATGAAAGGTTTATATGCCAAGATTTCACTATGACTCAGCCACATAACTTTTTCCTATGGAAATGAAATTCAAATGCGTGTAATATAGATTAGGTATCTGTCAAAAAAAGTCAAGTTCATGGTATGGTCCTCCTCACTGGAAATTACATGCTTTAGATGAAGCCCACCAGATTTTTCTCCATTCTGTCATTCCAAAAAAGGTTGATAAGCCTTTCCATAGAAAAGCAGTCCTACATAACTGTTCTAAACCAGCATCTTAATTATAATGGAATTAAAACTACTGATGCTCCTTTTAAGTTATACTGTTTTGAAATTGTGAACTACTTTCCCAATCAATAAAAAAGGAAGTATAAGTGTCATGGAAATTAAAAGGCTTTCCCCCCATACAACAGAACAAGTAAGTGCATGCCTTAAATCATTTGCCAGATACACCCTCTTCATTTTGTAGAGGGCCAGCAATTGCTGCAAAACTGTGCCTTAAATTCTCTCTTTTCAGCTTCAAGTGATTTTCTATAGAACAAGCTTCTTTCAGGATTCCTTCAAGCTCCTCTACATATGAAGCATCCATTGCTGCTCTCTCACTTTATTCATAAAAAGGAAGAAAAGAAACACCTGTAGTTTAAATTGCTACATACAAAACTAACATTTGTATCGATGTTTTCAATTGTTAAGCATTTTAAAACAATGAAGGTAAGCCATTAAATACATATAGCGGGAGAATATTTCCTCACTTATAAATATAAAATTTTAGTTAGAAGGTACTGAACCCATGATATAGATACTGGTGTCCTGCTTATATAAAGTGCTTATTTGTTATATCAATACGTGGGGAGTTTGGTGTTTTGCTTTGAACACGTTGGATAAAATTCATTTTTGTGATAGTCCACTTAAATAATGGAGCAAGGTTTTTTTCTGCTCACATCTGGAGCTCCCTACACCTCCTAAAACAGCTCCAATTTGCCAGATATGAAAGATACACTGAGAGTTATTACGAGACAGTATTCTCCCATGCACACAATGCTGACAGAAGCAAGGCAGCAAAACAAGTTTACCGAATTTTAGCAATGCTACAAGTTGGTTCAGAAGACAGACACTAAATAACTTTGGATCTTGCTATATATTTTAAATGTTTTTCTAGCTGAAAGCATTTTGTTACAATTTGCAAACATTTGGTTTATTTTTGCTTTTTAGTAAATAAAAAGGACTAAAACACAATTTTGGAAATATCAATTACATCAACAGCTGAATATGTGTTCAAAAAAGAGAGTTTAAAATGTCAAAAGTAAAATAATTTACTTACCTCAAAATTTGTGCATACTTTGATAATAGAGCATTGATTTCTTTGCCTGTATCTGTTAATACAAATATTTATTTAATTAAAATTTGGGTGTAAATGTAAGCAAGAAGAATGGCTAATATTCTTTTCAAAATAATACCCTTTAAAATGGTTTCCAGAGTATCCATTTTATGAAATTTCTGGGAGCTTTCAGGAGTCGGGTCATTTTTTTCAAAAAAACCCAATTGTGCAGTTCCTGAAGTTTCATTCTATAAAAAGAAAAAAAGTGACGGTTAAAAAAAATAACATCAGTGAATTTCCCCAGCCATGCCATACCTTTGTATCCATGACTCACAGGATTTTAAATAAACAGAACACAAGTGAAAAGGAAATTACTGCAATTTAAACAATGATAATGCTACCTAGTGCAAACTCACCTTTGCTTCTTTTTTACGCTTATTTTTGTATTCATCTGACTTTACCAGGGTAGTCGTCATTGTTAACTGATTAAAAAGTACAAGGTCATTATTTGTGGGAAATCTCTGGAATACCAGATAACAGCACACACACACAAAACAAGCGTTAAGCACCAGGTAGGTTCTCCTGATGCAATCAAATAAACAAAACACACACACACACACTTTTCAGAAAAAAAGATGACAAAATATCTTGCACCTAAGGACAGCCTGTTAAAATTTGATTTTTGCCACTACTTTATGCAACCTAAGTGGGAAATCCTAACTTTGTGGTCAGGAATCTGTGTTCTCTGATAATACAACATTCATGGCATCTTGATAGTTGTCAGTTCCACCAGAGAGGATGAATTCACAGGAGGTTTAGGGTCACACCACCGCTGCACTCTGCAGATTTACCATCCTCTAGCAAAGGGAATCTAGACGGCATCTCTCACCCACCCACCCACATTCAAGAAATGCAGAGCTTCCACCCAGACCCAACCTAGTGCCAGGCATGGTGGTTTGCAGAAGCAATCACAAGGCAAGATTTGTGCAAAACTGGCAGCCCGGTGTACGCCAAGCGGTGAGCCTCTAGATAGCGAGATGCGTGGCGTATCAATTTAATTTAATAAAACAAACGCAGAGCAACCCCACCTTGCCCTAGCAAGGCTCTGCCCTTTCATGTAGTTCACCCCACTCTTCTTTTTAGAAAGCAGTTTCCCAGAATGCCCTGTGAATGAGTTTTATGCCTCTTTAACATATACCTTGATTCCTAGCTGTTGGCTGCCCAGAATCCTATGAGACTCAGAAACCCTTTAAATTAAAGAAATAAAATTAAAATATAGTTCAGGGGTCTCCAACCTTGGCAACTTTAAGGCTTGTGGACTTCAACTCCCAGAGTTCCTCAGTCAGCTGGCTGAGAAACTCTGGGAGTTGAAGTCCACAAGTCTTAAAAGTTGCCAAGGTTGGAGACCCCTGCTTTAAAGCATGCAGACCCCCCCCCCCCATAAATGCCCCCGCCCTCATTGGCTTCTTCCAGCTTTGCTGCCTGGGGAACTCTGGGAGTTGAAGTCCACAAGCCTTAAAGTTGCCAAGGTTGGAGACTCCTGAACTATAGTATAACATTATAATAAATATAATTTCCAAACCAGCCCTGGCAAAACGGGGCGGCGGGGGGCTCTTCTGTTTCACCCTCAGCAACCCAAAATAAGCCCTGGTTTCATAATCTCCCCGGCTGTGGATGATGGGGAGTCCCCTGTCCGTCCATCCCCCCCCACTTTCGGGGGTTTCCCGCTCCGGCCCGTCCCCCAAATCGCCCTCCCTGGGGTCCCAGTATCGTTGAGCTGGGTTGAGGGGGGAGGGCCCGCGGGGGGGGTCTTTAGACCAGCGGGAATCCCCTGAGGGGCGAATTCGGCCGTGTGAAAGGAACAATGCACGTTTCGGGGTATGTGTGTGTGGAAAAAGGTCGACTGGGGAAGGGCGCGCCTCGTGTGAAAGCGCCTCACACAGTTCAGGCGGAGGCCGCCGACGCCCTGAGGGGGCCCGTGGCCGACGCCAGTACGCATGCGCCACTCCGCCTCACAGGGCGACGGTTAAGCAGCGTCTCGCGCTGGAAGGAGAAGGAGGGGGGATGAGGGGACGTTTTGGCGGGAAACTGTCACGCGACGCTCAAGGCTGGTGCGGGAGGGCGCAGATTTGGAGATGCCCAGTCAGGGCCTCTTTTCTAAAGCAGGCTTTCTCAACGTTGTGATTTTTTTTAAAATAATAATAATAATAAAAAGATTTGTGGATTCTCAAAAATGCAACTCCCACCAAATTATGATCAAATGCAATGCATCTGCTGACTATTTTAGTTAACTATGGTTTCCCAACTTTTAAGAGGGATGGACTTCCACTCCCAGAATTCCACAGCATAGCCTAGCTGGCTGAAGAATTCTGGGATTTGAAGTCCACCCGAGGGCCAAAGAGGATGGGCTTTGTAATACTCGAAACATGGTTTTCGTAATAGCAATAAGCACCTAGACTTATAGTGCTTTTACAGCCCTCTCTAAGCAGTTTACAGAGTCAGCCTCTTGCCTCCAACAATCTGGGTCCTCATTTTACCCACCTCAGAAGGATTAAAGTTTCAAGTTTATTAGATTTCTATACCGCCCTTCTCCCGAAGGACTTAGGGCGGTGTACAGCCAAAGGCTGAGTCAACCTTGAGCCGGTCAGAATCGAACTGGCAGTGGGCAGAGTTAGCCTGCAATACTGTATTCTAACCACTGGGAGGGAGGAAAAGGAAGGAAGGAAGGAAGGAAAGGAAGGAAGGAAGGAAGGAAGGAAGGAAGGAAGGAAGGAAGGAAGGAAGGAATAGCAACAGTAGTTGGATTTATATACTGCTTCACAGTGCTTTTACAGCCCTCTCTAAGCAGTTTGCAGAATCAGCCTCTTGCCCCCAACAATTTCGGTCCTCATTTTACCCACCTCGGAAAGATGGAAGGCTGAGTCAAGCTTAATACTGTTGCATTGGCTAATTAACATGGGTTTTCTTGTATTTTAAAGTTGCTTTTTCAATTGTATTGCTAATAAAAAAAATCAAACATATGAAGAACGGCTGCAGGTTTTGGGTCTGGCTTGTCCAAAGAAGAATTAGGGGTGACATGATAGCAATATTCCAGTATTTGAGGGGCTGCCACAGAGAAGAAGGGGACAAATTATTCTCCAAAGCGCCAGAGGGCAGGAGAAGAAGCAATGGGTGGAAGCTAATCAAGGAGAGAAGCAACCTGGAATTAAGGAGATGTTTCTTAACAGTGAGGACAATTAACCAGTGGAACAGTTTGCCACCAGAAGTTGTGGGTGCTCCATCACTGGAAGTTTTTAAGAAAAGACTGGGAAGCCACCTGTCCGAAATGGTATAGGTTCTCCTACTTAAGCAGGGGGATGGACTAGAAGACCTCTAAGGTCCCTTCCAGTGCATTCATTCTAACTCTAATTTCCCCTAAACCTTAACCTTCAAGAAAAAAACCCTGTCTTTCAGGAACCAGGGCTGGCAGGAGAGCATTCAATACATTGCAGATAAGAGTTTTGGTTTTAGCTGTTCTCAAGCCGAGGTAGAACCTTTGATGGCCGAATTTGGCCATCAAAACTGGTGAGTCAGCCATTTCTTTCTTGGACTGCAGGTCACTATCAATGGAAAAGCGTGCTTCGAAATAATTTCTTTTGACACTGTGATTTTTGTCTGAGGTTTAGGAAACTGCAGCCAGCAATGCAAAAGGAATACCATTCATTATAGGGGCCCTGAAGGACAAAGAACAGTCGTCCATCCAGATAAAGTTTATTCAAAAGAAATTTGGTGAGTGTTGATTTGTTTCCTTTCGATTCTCTAGTAAATGAGGGTAAGTTCATGAGTTGATCCGACCCTGGGTTCTACCTCGGTTTACCTTTTCCAATAAGCAACCAAGTCAGAAGAGCATTTAAAAGCAATTTATTAAACTACTCTGATAAAGTGTGGTCTCCGTATGAAAAGGGGGAGTCCCGAGAAATGGATTACATTTACTTTTATAGTTAGCACAACAAAGAACTACAAAGCAAAAGTTGATTGGTTTAAAAATAGTCATCTGAGTTAAAAGAGAGAGAAGAATCAGACTATTATAAAACTTGGAGTAGACTGTACAAGTGGCTAGAGAATAGAAGCCAAAACAAGAAATAAAAATTCTAAAACTATTGACTATAATATAAAGATAAATATATATATATATATATGTATATAATCAGAATGGTTATAATCAGTATTATATTATTATAATTATACCATTAATAGAATTGTTAAAATCTATGAGAAGGCAAATATTGAATATTGAATTACAAAAGTAGAATATACATGCAGATACGGAAAGCTGTAAAATTATATTACACTGTTGTGTTTTTTCTATTTGTTTGTATTTGTCTTATTATTTTTTTCTCCTTTTTTTTTTCTTGTAGTTTTTAAAGTTGGAAAATGTTGAATAAAATCTTAAAAAAAAAGAAAGAAAGTAAGAAGCATTGAAAAGAATTACAGTGTAGCCATAGAAAAGAGCATTGTGTTCTGACTAAAACTAAACATTTGCGAAGGAAAACCACCTAAACGGCCTTGGGTAAAATACATTCTCATCGCTTCTCAAGGTTGGCTTGACTATTTTCTTTGCTCAAGAACAGCTAAAAACGAAGCTGCTATCTACAATATATTGAATGTTCTCTTGCCAATCCTGGTTCCTAAAAGAGAGGCTTTTTCTTGAAGGTTAAGGTTTATGGGAAATTATTAGCAATACAATTGAAAAAGCAAATTTAAAATACAAGAAAAACCACGTTAATTAGTCAGTATTACAAAAACCATGTTTCGAGTATTACAAAGTCCATCCTCTGTGGCCCTCACACCCTTCTTTAAAAGTGCCCAAGGTTGAGAAACACTGCTTTGAGTCTTAGAAGCAAGAGAGGTCCCTCATGTGCCACCAGTTATGCCCGCTCTCGATCCTGGATAATCCCAGGGCAGGTGCAATTTTAGAGGCTGATCTTGGTCAGGTTTAATCCTGATTAAGGTTGGTGCCACAGCTCTTATGCCAAATGAGTCTTTTAAAATCCCAGGTTTAAGATTGTGTCTTTTTGGTGATGTGTCAGAAAGCAACACACCAAATAGTAGAAGACATTGACATGATTTGTATGAGTAAGGACAGACATCCTTTAAACATCTTGCATCTCTTCCTTTCCCTCGCTGGGTTTGTTTCTTTAATGCTTGCAATCTTAACTAAGGACATCAGAATTCCACCCTGAGGTCTGATGATCGCTGATAAGGCTTGGTTTTCTGGACACCAAAGGAAAATGGCTTTGGATGAATGGAAAAAGTTCAGCCAAAAGTTCAATTTTCTATAGTTCCAAAGGCGGCATGGATGCTATGCTAAAATGCTATTATTGCCTGTCTTTAAATGCTACAAATCAGGCCTGAAATTCTAATGAGGATCCAAGGTCTGAAGGGAGATGGAGAGCCACCCAGGCAGGCAACCAGTTGCACCAAGGCATTTCAGCCCTTCTTCCCACCTCTTCCCTCGTCCCCAGATCTCCACCCCCCCAAAAAAATGTCTTCTTAGCCACTATCAAGGGCTCCTAGTCCCATTTCGCCAAGGTAGCAAGCTGTGAGTAGCTGTGAGCAGCCCCTGGGAACCATAAGAGCTTATTAACCTCCTTGCCACAAGGAAAGAAAGGCAGCTCAACTGGCCTTTAGATGCTTATGGGGCAAGGAGAGATCTAGGAGAGATTTCCAAATTATTTCACAAGGACGCTAGTGGCAGAGGGTCAGCTATTATCACCCTGCGTTCAGGAAAAGGGGCAAAGCAACTCTGCCAGAAAGAAATGTGTCAGAAGAATGGGAAATCACAAAATACAGAAGTCAAAATAGGTTCAAATGTCACAATTCTTTAAAGAAAAACAGCCAAGTATGATTCTGCTGACATTACTCAATCAAAGAGTCAGAAAAAAAGAGTTTGACTGTAAAATTGACTATAGGCTATATAAATCCAGAGCCAGGGATTCAAGATGATGGGGTCCTTGCACTCCTGGAGAGAACTTCTGGAGAAGATGGTGTTTGCAGGAATGAAGCCTTTGAGGGCAGCCGCAGAATAATGCTTTCTCTCTTGCAGGAAGTCCCTCAGGGAGGGAATCTGTGCCATTTCAAACTCTTTTTTTTTCTTTTTGAGATCTTTCTTTAATTGCACATTTTCTGCCACCAAATTTAAAAAAGTGTAGTTACACAGGAGGCTTTAAGCAGGCTCTGCTCCGATCCATCTATGCATTCAGATGGGCAATTTTCTGAGATACCCAAGACTTTCAACAAATAGAAAATCAAACATTACCTTAAAGGAAATAAACAGGACCATCCCACACAAGCGGTTACTACACTGAACCTAATGGGTGTGGGGGTCTTCTTAAAATACAGCCTTCTGATTTGGGACACAAGTATTCCCCCTGGAGGGGAAACCTCCCCATCCCTGACTTCCCTCCCTTCCTGCCAGGTCCTTCTTTGGACTCTCTAGAGCAGGGCTGTCTAACCTTGGCAACTTTAAGACCTGTGGACTTCAACTCCCAGAATTCCCCAACCACCTAGCTTGGCTGGGGGAATTCTGGGAGTTGAAGCTCACAAGTCTTAAAGATGCCAAGTTTAGACTCATTGGCTCCAGAGTCCAGCCCCTCTGATGGTCCCGGTGCCCAGCCCGACCTGCTTCCCTTCTCCCCCTCCTCCCTGCCAAGGAAGGAGGCCGGCTGCGCCCCCTGCTATCCTGGGGTGGTGGTCGCACGCCCCACCGCCTCGACCCCTTCCACACACACCCCTCCCAGGTGGAGGAAGCACCTTCTCTGCACAACTTTCCTTGCAAGATACTCCTGGGTGGTTCACTCAGGCTGGGCTTCCCGTGCTGTGCCCCTTCCACCCTCTGTTTCGGGGATTGGGTGCCCCTTACAGACAAGCTCCTGCAAGAGGACGGGAGAAGGGGCAGGGCTGGGGGTCCAGCTCCGGCGGCTTTATTCTTGCTTTTCCTTCCCCTTCTCCTCCTCCTCCTCCTCTCCCTCTCGCTGATTTTCGGCTAGGGCTGGCTGAGCCCCTTTTCCCCGCTCCCCGCGCAGAAGGCAAGACCTCTTCTCCACCCCCCCCACCCGCTTATTTTGCGCAGAGTATTTCCCGGGGGTGGAGAAGCGACCCTCGGCGCTGCACCCGACTTTCCGCCCAGAGAGCCGAGCCGAGTCTGTCCTCACCTGGCAAGCATCCCAGAGGCGGGCGCGGCTCCGCGCGTGGGAGAAAAGAGCGAGCCGTGTCGTCGCCCTTGGCCGGCCAGGGGGCTGGGCAGAGGCGGGGCGCCCGCGCTTCCCGGCCCTCTCCGCCCCTCGTCGCCCGCACTCCCATCTCCGAGCGCTGCGCAGGCAGGTGGGTTCCTCGGCCGGGGCGCGGGGCGGGGGTCTGCGGCGCCCACCCATCCCCGGGCAGGCAGCGGGACGCGCGAGGCAGCCCGGCGAGGGTCCCCAGTGGGTGGGCGCGGGGAAGCATCGTCGGGGCCCGCTGGAAGGAGGCAGCGGGGCTCCCTCCCGACCCTGCCCGGAGAACCGATCTTTCAGCATCCTCTAGGCAGGCGGGCTAAGCTGGAACGCGGGATGCCAGGGTGCCACGCCCGGAGGTTGCCAACTGGTCCCGTCCTTTTCCCGGCGCTGAGCAGGGAAGCTCTGGCCTTCTGCCCCTCTCCTCCTTGCCAGCGCGCCAAATAAAGCATATTAAATTCAACTTCAGAAGCCATAAAATCTCCGCCTTCATCCCCAGAGAGCGAAGATGTACAGCGATATGATCCAGATGCTGCCGGTGAATTTGGACCAAGAAGGCCACCTCTATTTCCAAGGTAATTCTTGGGGGGGGGCTTTTCCCTGGAGGAGACTCAAAGAGGCTGCCAGGGGGAGGAGGGGAATCCCGCTGCTGAGCCCAGGGCTCCTGCTTTGGAATGAGGAAGCTCTGTGGGCACATCTTCTGCAGCCATAAAATAACTCCAGGTTGTGGGATGAGGCTTTTTTGCAACTCTCACAGCTCGGGCGGGAGGGGGGGATTTTTCTTGAGCAGCTGGCGCTGGCACAGAGAATGAGCGCGCCCAAATTTACATAATGATATCATATTTTCTTTCCCCCCACTCCCTCTTTCTCCCCCTCTTGCCTGCTGCTGAAACCAAGAACAAGGTAAGCAGTGCAAACACTTCTTTCAGCCGGAAATGCTGGCTTTGTTTTTTGTTTTGTTTTTTAAATGTGCCACTGTTTTTTTTCCCTAATTGCTATTTCATAAGGTAGCATTATAGCAGGGGTATCTGCAAACTTGGCCACTTTAAGTCTTCAGTTGCCAGAATTCCCCAGCCAGGAGTTGGGAATCCACAAATCTTAAAGTGGGCAAGTTTGCAGACCCCTGTATCATAACATCAACTCCATAATGAAACAACAAAATATGGGGAGCCATCCCCCCCCGCCCCCCCGCAAATCAGCTTTTATCTGTGATTTTATAATTATTCATTGGGGGAGAATCACATGTTTCACTAATCCACCTGAGGATGCATCTGGGTGCAATATGATTATAGTATGGATTATTTATTACTATGGTTTATTCATTAGTATGGATTATTGATACAGTGAGGAGAGCAAATGAAAGCAAATCAATGAATTGTCAGGATTGAATTAAAATTCATTCTAGATTTAACATGACCTCAAAGAATAGATGTAAACAGCTGCTTAAAAATCAAGAGAAATTATTAGGAGCAGGCCAAGGACAAGCCGAGTGTGACTCTATGCCCAATCTGTACATCCAAACAATATTTTTACTTTACATGCTTGCTTCTATTATGTTTTTATTGAATGGGAGATCTTTTAAGTTGATTTCATGAACTGCAAAGACGTTCCTCTATAAAAAGTTTGCTTCACTATAAAAAGTTACAGACACACCGAAATGAAAGAAAGTATTAGGTCACCAAATTATGGGCAAAGACAGAAAGGATATTTGGTTTCCTTCTTCTTCTCTGCATTTTTGCTTATTGAAAATATGGTTCTTTTCAAAGAATTATGACGTGTGTGTGTGTAGTGTGTAATATACATTACATATTGGGGGCAAGATGCTGACTCTGTAAACAGCTAAGAGAGGGCTGTTAAAGCACTGTGAAGTGTTATAGAAGTCTAAGTGTTACTGCTATATACGGTATATATTTATATTTTAAAAAATTAGTCTGCATATACATTCCAGACGAGATAATGTACGTCCTGTTCTGACATCAGATTTGTCATCTTCTTCTAAGTTTTAGAAACGGACAGCTGGAAAACGTCAGGAAAATGTGAACCTGCCCAAATCTTCCGAAGTCCTAATAATCACGTCCTCATAGCACGGCCGTCTGACCAAGATTTCCCTGCAGTATTTGAACGCAGAACAGACCAGGAAATTCGGAATGGTACAGTCGCAGTTTTGCACCTCTGAATGTCTCAATAGATTAAAAGGGTCTCACTCTGTTTTCATTTTTTTTCTCCTGACCTATTTCGTGCCCCAGGAAAAGAACTTGGGAAGAGAAGAAACAGATCAGTCACTGCAGTCAGGACTGAAAACAGCTTTGTAAAAGCGATGCAGATAATTAATTACATTAGGAAATTGCTTTTTTATGCATCATAAGAGTTTATTATCAGAACAGGCAGTGTTCCTCAGTGAAACCTGTCGTTTCATAGATTGTCAAGGAAGTTCTTAAGGCCAGGAAAATATTTAAATGAGCCACAAAATCTGTTCAAATTTTATGGCTTGCCTTCTTACAGTCATTTCCAGACCATTTAATGGCAAGTCTTAACAAGCCCTCTCCTTCTAGTCAAATGATTAAAAGAAAAAAAAAACTGCACCAAGAATAATTTTTGGACTAAGAAACCTTCCTTACAGATATAGGAGAAAGTGATAGAAAAGTTTGAGGTTATTTTATCTACTGCCAGACCCTCATGAGAAGAAACCTTTCTATTTCTAGCAGGACTACCAGATCCTGTAACAGCTTTCCATCCACCTGGTATACTCACAAGGTTCATATTTCTCGCCATGTACATGTATACATCTGAACTAGGCTGTGTTGTTTCTCTGTGTTGTCATAAAATATATGTGGGCACATGCATAATTTTGTATTTATTTATTTACTTATTTTGTCATGGTTATGTAGCGTATATTGGAGGTGGTAACCCTTTGAGATGTGCAACAAAATTTCATTTTAATGTATGCCGATTAGTGTACATTCAAAGTGACAATAAAGTTGTTATTCTATTCTATTCAATTGAATTCAATTGAATTCTATTCTATTCTATTCTATTCTATTCTATTCTATTCTATTCTATTCATTCTATTCTATTCTATTCTAATCATCTACTCTACTCTACTCTACTCTACTCTACCCAAATCTACTCTACCCTACCCGACCCTACCCTACCCTACCCTACCCTACCCTACCCTACTCTATATTCTAACCTCTTGTTCTTTTTCCTGCAGTATCAGGAATCAAATTTGACATCCACAGTTACCAAGACACCAACCCAAAGGGTCTGTGCGTGGCCTTCACTGTGGAATTTGACCACCAGACTTACCACATGTTTGTGGAGAAAAAGGAAAACAAAATGAGGGTGAATTTTAAGGTAGGCTCTTGTCAATTGGCATCAGTTGGAGTTGGGCCAAGAGGTTAACTGACTGTTTTTTTATTGTTTATTGTATTAAAGTTGGGAAGTCTGTGACCTTCGAGATTCCTCATTGGGATGGTTGGCGTAATTATTGCTGGCTTTGCTTCCTGCAACGCAAAGGAAGCAAAGCCATTAAAAATAAAAACTCTTACAGCTATACAGGGAGTCCTCGACTTCATGATCACAACTGAGCCCAAAATGTCTGTTGCTAAGCGAGACATTTGTTAAATGAATTTTGCCCCGTTTTATGACCTAACTTATCACATTTGCCAAGGGAACCACTTAAGTTATTGAATTAGTGACGCGGTTGTTAAGGAAATCTGGATTCCCTCACGGACTTTGCTTGTCAGAAGGGGGATGGTATGACTCAGGGCCACTGCAACCGTCATAAATATGAGGTAGTTGCCAAGTGATCATAAATCACTATTTTAGTGCCGTTGTTCACTTCAAATGGTCACTAAATGAACTGTTCTGAGTCGAGGATTATCGGTACAGCTTTCAGATACAGAACAATTAAAACTCGGACCACACATCTTCTGAATAGTTTTTATCCCAGAGCTGTAATTGCACTCAACAATGAACTAAAGGGCCACCATCGGTGAGCTGTTGGACGGCATTACTTGGTCTGTTGTGTGGATGTTTGGGTGGTTTAGGGATGGGGAATTTGTGGCGGGTGGGTGGGGGGTGTTTGGGGATTGTTATGTGTGTTGGACCTGGTCTTTGGGTGTTAAGTGAATTTCGTTGTATTGGGTGCACTGTATATACACGTACAAGGACAATAAATAGTTATTATTATTCCAGAAATTATTCAGAAACACCTTCATTACATCCTGTTACTGTTTAAAACAGCTTGTCTTTTCTGAATTGCAACCTTGATAATCTCCTTTGTCCAGAATGCAAAAAAAAATAAATCTAGAGACAAAGGAGATTATAGCCTGACTATAATTTCGATGCTACCTTTGGTTACAGCAGAGAGAGAGAGAGAGAGAGAGAGAGAGAGAGAGAGAGAGAGAGAGAGGACTGTGTTTCTTAAAACAGCCAGTTCATAGAAAGTTCTGTTAGCTTGGATGCATCTGCAAAACCTGAGTTTAAAAAGAATTAAATAGACTTTAAGATACCTTGGGGTATCACTGGACATTGGCTGATGGGTCAGCTGTTTCAGTTACTCCCAATTAATTGTCCACCCACCCACTAGGAGTATAGAAGGCCAAAATTGGTTGCGTGGATGGGGTTTAAGATAAAACTAAATTAAAGGTCTGTGGAGATTCTCAGTCATCCAGGATAGGTCATGACCTTCTCCCAAAAGTGCTTTTTCAAAACTTCCTTTTTCCTTGAAGATGTTTCACTTTTCATCCAAGAGATTTCTTCAGAACTGAATTGAAGAAGCTTCTTGGATGAAAAGCGAAACTTCAAGGAAAAAACGAAGTCCAGTCGCCTTTTGAAAAAGCACTTTGGGGACAAAACTAAATTAACGAAAGTGCAGAATTGCCTTAAAAGAGAAGGCAGCCTCTCTCCCATCGAACAACTGCAGCACCAAACCAGCTCTTTAGCCCAATCCTGGGCTCTTCTTAAGACTTTCTGAGACGCGAGGGGGGGGGGGTGTCTTTCTGTTTTTAAGTTCCCCCTTCCTGCCATGCGGGGGATCCCTTTCAGATCGTTTGTTCTCTCATTTCAGGCAGGGACAATTCCAAAACACATCGAAGGGGACACCAGCAACATCATCTTCATCAAAACACGATTTTCGGACGGCGGCAGGCAATTTTACAAGTTCGAATCTGCTCTGGAACGTGGCTATTTCCTGGCCTTGGAGTGTGTCGATGGTAGCTCTGAGACCGTACTGGTGGTCAAGAAGATAGAACTGGCAGATGAAGTGGATGAATCCACCAGGCTCCACCACACTTCATTCCACTGACAAGGAAACCCAAGTAAAAAAAAGAAACGAGACTGCAAGCAGTCAAGTCGAAAAAGTGCAGATTTTAAAGGAATGGTTGATTTAGTGTATGGAGCATATTATAAAATTGCTCACTTTCCTTGCTTAATATTTGAAAAATTGACCCGTGGATTTGTCTAATTAACAGTATCTAAAATTGGGCGGGGTGAATAATGGCACTAGAAAAGACACACAAATATCCATGGCTTTGCAAGGAATCTCAAATCAATTACCAATAAATAAATTTTTAAAAACTAGACAATAGCCAAACAAAAAATGGTAGATAAAAATCTAATGGAATGTCAACATTTCAAACCTTATCTAGGCTGAGCATATTTTTTAAATTGAGATGTTATATTTTTAATAATAACTAAAAATCAATCCAGAAGTTGTTTTGTTATTATTTCTTGAAAGTATTTTGAAAGTAGCTTGTAAAATCCGGTGCAACTCAATTTAACAACTGCTTTGTTTAGAGAGAAATTTTGGTCCCAAAGTATGATCAAAAGTCAAGGATTACCTGCGTTTGTTCGCTGGCAAACAAACACGGATTTATGAATTGGGAAGTTCTGGTTTCCCATTTTTAAAAAAAACTGTCCTTGATATATCATCTTGATAATTAACTGATTCTAGCCAAGCTTATTAATAACTGTATTTTTTCCTTTATTCAAATGATATATTCTTTTAGCCCATTATAAGTAAAAAATACATTTCAAAATGCAGGGAAACTGCCACATAGTTTCCCCCAAAACGCCTAAAAGAAAGATAAGCTTTTTTTATTCTCCAAAAGGCTGAGATCAAGATCACAATCTCTTTCTAAATGAAGATCGAGATTTTTTTGGCCCAGAGCAAAAAAGACAATCCAGTTGCAATCTCAGCATTAAGAAGCCAAACCAACAAATTTGGGGGGGAGAAAAATCAGAGAACGCAAAGAGAAGGGTGAACGTCAGAACAGGACAGCCGTATTGGCAGGTTCTGGAAATCTTGTTTCTTTCTAAAGCAAGTTTCTAGATCTTATGATGGAAAAGGCATTGTCCCTAAGCTCTGTATCAGTCATCGGGTACCCAGCCTGTGCGAAATTCAACCTCATGAAAGATGCGCAGAAGCTGGATTGGTTTTGTGACCCAAATGCATACACAATTTCTGTTTGGGACATTTTAGCTCCACGCTGATAAGGGAGCAGAATGAGCTGTAATGTTCCAGTTAAACCACAATCAGAAATTTTTAAGAGGAACTCTCATTCTTGCTTTTAACGTCTGAAAGTGCCATGCCAGGGCATGTCTAAACATGGTGGTTTTTCCCTCTGCACCGATCTATTTTTCCCCCCCATCCGTTTTAAACATGCATCAAGGCATATTTTGTATTAACAGTAACAAGAGTTACTGACCCAGGAGACCTGTACTAGGGATTCGAACCGCCAAACTGCCAACCTTTCTGATCGACAAGCTCAAGTGTTTTAGCCACGCAGCCATTGTTATGTTTATTTTGTTAGTTTGGGAGGGAAGGGTATAAATTATATCCCAAAACATTTTTTTTAACAATGTGAGATGATACATTGAGATGAAGTGTGTCCTTTCTTTTTTTTTCCCCCTCAACTCTACTCAAATCATCAAAATGAACCTGACGCCTCCCGAGGCCACGGAATGGGTAAACCCTGGATTTCAGACTCGCACAGCTGTGGGTTCCAAAAATCCTTTATTGTACGTAGCTTAGATTTCCCTTTTGCATTGGGCAAGATGCCACGTACATACTTCATTCATTGCAACAAGACAGCCAGAAACTCGAGACGGCATATCAACATGAAATGATGCTGACCTCAGCTTGCGGTCTGAGAGGGGAAGGGCCTCCCATCTGCAGAAGCTCCCAACATAATACAAAGCTTTGCCCAGATGCTTTTTCCCTGATTCTAGCTTGGTTCAGGTCTAATTCTCGCCTTAGCGAGAGATCTTCTGAATGGCAACAGCCGTGGATATGGCCACGGGGGTATCCCCCCCACCCCAGCCCTTCTGCTGCATGCAGAACATCCCCCTAGCTTGTCCTCTCGCCCACCCTCAAAAGACTCGGTGATAACGTAAAGCAGCAGAGGCAGCAGTGAACGGTCGCTGGGCTCTGCGGGCAGGCCTCAGAGGCTCCACAGCATCGCCACTGCCCTGCAGATGCCCACGTCGTGGTAGTTGAAGTAGCAGAGGCCGGCAAAGGTGACTGCCGAAAGCAGGTAGAGGCCAGCGTTGGCCAGTTTAATGGAGCTCTTTCCGTGGACGTAGTCAGTTACAAGCTGACCCAGGCCCCTGCAGGGAAGGGAGAGAAAGAAACAGGAAGCTGGCTGAAGACGCGTTCAAAATCCTTTCAAAGTTTTTCAAACCGGGCGGAGCCGAGTTAGAATTCGCCTACTTCACAGTCGCTTTGAAAATTACTCAGCGGGCAGCGAGAAACCACAATGTGGAAGAATGTGTTCCCACTTCCCCAAAGGTTTGTTTCGTTTGATTCATTTTGGCTTACTCCTTCAATGGAGGGCTGAAAAGTTCATAGGGAGCCCATGGAGAATGACCCACCCAATCTCAGAAGCTTTAACCGGGCTCCAAAGAGCCAGGATACCCTCCAGAGGTGACTATGCCCCAATTTCTACCCAACGCAGCCCACCTTCTCAATTACAGGAGTTGTTTGGGGCTTTAAAGAGTTCACTATTTCTACAGGGCCTGGATGGTGATGGGGGAGGAAGGACTCTCCCGTAAGTGCCAACAACAACCCTGTGAGGTAGGGTAGGCTGAGGTTGGGGTGGGGGGAGAGAACTGGCCCAAAGTGACCCAGGTGGCTTAACAAACAACAGGCAAACGTTAGTTTGAAGGGGGAACAAGATTGTTGGTCAGCCAATACACTTAAATAACTGAAAATACCAAAATATATCGAATATTAGTGTAAGGACAGGGAAACAACCCTTTGTTGAAGGAAAATCTGGGATTTTCCCCTGCTATAACAACAGACAGCGTGAATATAAACAATGATGAAATGTAATGCCAGTCAACAGTGAAAGGGAAGGAAATTATGCAAGTGGCACAGAAATCCAGGGAGCAGCGTGATGCAAGAAAGTCATCTGGGACTGCATCAGCACAGATACGGTTTCTAAATCACAAGAGGCGGTTGTCTTTAAATCACATCCCAGGGATTGTTTTCCTCTTTTGTTCTTTTGCTCTGTAAAGAGGATTCAGGCAGAAGTAGAAGGAATGCTGAGAAGTAGCGCAAGGATGAAGACCAGGGACTAGAAACTTAAGTCCTATGAAAGGATATTGGACAAACCGGTCACATTTAACCTCGAGAAAATGACTGAGATGTGTGTGGGGGGGGGGGGGGGGGGTGTTTTGATGAGAGTCAGAAAATGGAGCCCAACATTTTCTCGGTTCTCCCAAAGGACAGGCCATGAAACAGTCCGCAACAGGCAGCCAGATTCCAAATGAATGTTAAAAATGCTGGGAGTAAGCCGTCTGTGGTTGGGTTGCCTGCACTGAGCCTCCCGTGGGTCAAATCCTCCGCTTCCAAGTTCTCGGATGAACGGCCTGGCATGAGGACAATGAAGGTCCCTCTTCCAATGCAGGTCACAAACAAGGAAATTAAAAACGACCGAAGGGAGCCAAAGAGAAAAACTCTTGTTTTTCTGGGGAGGGGAAAAGATGTTCCTGTTCAAGGGTGGGAACTTTTGCAAAAGAAAGAAGAGCTTTCCAGAAACGAGGGAGGGAAACCCAGAAGGGGGGAAAGCAGAAACATAAAACCATTTGTTTTTGAAGCCCTTAACCCACTTTTGGCAGGCCCAGGCCTCAAAAAACATGGCAACAGGCCAACTGAGTCATTTTGCTCACTTCCCAAGAAGCACAAGACTTTCTTACCCACCACAAAAGAGGACATGACCCTTTCCAGGAACCTACATAGCACAGGAAGGAATGCTATTTCCTGGAGAAGGGCTGGCCTGCAACATTTTTCTTTTAACAACTCCTGTTTTCCAAGGCCCAAATTCTTACCCACTGCTGTCGGAGGGCAGGGAGCAGCCTGAAGGGACTCGAAAAGAGGCTGCCCTAGAGAGATTTGTCTCCCCATACATACACACTTTTACCCAGAGGAAGACACCCCCAAATTCCTTGGGCACAGCACTTGATCACTTTACCGAGTTTACTAAGCAGAAAGGTTTCGTAGGAAAAATAATTACAACCACAGAGAAAATGTGTTTGGCTTACTGAAGTTTAGTTAAACAGAAGTGTGAACAAAACAGATCTTTGGAGCCTTATCCACTACTTTTTTTAGATCGGTGTTTTGTTTTGTTTTTCAAATTTGGGTGGTGCGGACTTACCAGTGCCCGTGGAGTGTGAGGGTTGCTGCCAGGGAGTAATCCACAGCTGCTCCAGGATACAGATAGGCTGCTGGCAGGAGTCCAAGCAGGAGGATGCTGACTGCTCGCTCGCTGGTCCAATGGAGAGAGGCGGCCTTTGAACCAGCTGCAGACAGATGCAGCATTTTTAATGCCCGAGAAACGGCTTACTCGAGAGCTAGGAGCAAACGCTCGAAGAGTGTGTGTTTTATCTTGCAGTAAGCAGCTCAGAGTCGTTTTGAACCAGAGCAAATAAATCTGATGATCGTCTTATGCAGCAAATTAAGAGGCTCCCCCCTCCTTCAGAAGGGATTCAAGAAAGAAACATGGAACTTCGAATCGGTCGCTTAGCAACCTGTTGTAACTTGAGGACAAGTTTGTGTTTTGTTTGGTGTTGTAGGTAGCTGGCAGAAGCATAAATGAACAAGCAAAAGAGGGACCCTCTAGAGTAGGTGTCTCCAACCTTGGCAACTTTAAGACTTGTGGACTTCAACTCCCAGCTTTGCTGGCTGACGAATTCTGGGAGTTGAAGTCCACAAGTCTTAAAGTTGCCAAGGTTGGAGACCCCTGCTCTAGAGTGTTTTGGTAAAGGACCCTAGTAGGAGCTCAGAAAAGAGCAGGAGGCAGCCTTCCAAAGAAACGTAACCTTCTGAATATCAAAGCTTTTGCCCACACAGCCTGAATGGGCCCAAACCTATTTCCACGGTCATGAGGAGTAGAAACTTGCTTTTTTAAATTTCTTTACAGTTTAAAAAAGTAACGTTTGAGATTTCTGAGAATCGATACTGTGAGCCAATGCACCATGCTTTAGCACTGCTAGACAAAAGGCCTCTGATTTAAATCTCTGGAACAAGCTTCCCCCAAGATCTAGATAGCTCCTGCTCTCCTCTTGGTTCGAAGAGATGGATAGGCTGGGCTCTTGAACCCAACCTTTGGCAAGCGAGTGAAACTTCATTGCACTGTTCGCTTTTATATTTATTTAGTCTTTTATTGGTTTTATTGTACTTTCACTGTTATGAGTCACCCAGAGTAATTGAGAATTGGACAAACTCTATCGTCGTTTGTCCAATTATTAAACAATTACATCACAAGAGGGAGAGTTGTGCATTTACAAACTTGTTACAACCTTGTAATATTCCATTTTTCAATTGAATACAACCATGTCTCAAACAATAGAGACAGGAATAAACTTATTTTTACCACAAAGAACGGGAAACTGTGATTGTTTTCATTGAATCAATGGAATCCATAACCTTCAGGGAAATTATTCAGAAAAGAACAGTGAAACTGTTTAGAAAGTTCCCCTTTCTTTTCCCACCCTCTGAGATGGGGGGTCAATGAATCATGAGACTAAGCATGACACACAAACAGACACGTAAAAAAGGAACTAAAGGGAGACCTACCCAAACTCCTGGGAGATGTGTGAAATTTGCATATCTGATGACGACGATGATGAAGATGAGAGTCCTCGATTGGTCTAATCAAGGCAGCCAGTGGTCTAGCCAAGAGATACTTGCTCAGGACAACTGCGGGGCAGAAGAGATGCATCTCATCTTGTAAATAAGACCGTTTTGATCTCCAGATCCCACTGATGTTTATTACACACTATAAAAATACATGTGTGTGTGTGTGTGTGTGTGTGTGTGTGTGTGTGTGTGTGTGTGTATCTGGAAAAGATGGATGAAGAGAGAGAGAGGGAGGGATAGATACATACATACATAGATGATTGATACGATATAGGGTATGTTTGTGTGTATGTATGTGTACACACACACACACACACACATATATATATCAAATTTATATTTGCTGATAAAGAAATAAAGGGAGACTAGTATAGATCTATTTCAAGCTTTTTAGCTTTCAGCAGCTAGCCAGACCCTTACTCGGATTCAGCCAGGGGAGAGATTAAGTGTTTTTCTATTGAGACATCTGGTCTACCCTAACCGGGGTGGAGGGGTGGGGTGGGGGGGGGGCATTCTGGTGGGAGGGGGCATTCTGCTCCCTTTCGCCTTTCAGCTCCAATCCAGGAGCCCTCAAGCAGTCGCATTCACGACAAACCCCATTTTAACCAAATTTATATTTCGCTGATAATCTGAGTAAGGGTATGGCTAGTTGATGAAAGCTAAAAAGCTTGAAATAGATCTGTGCTAGTCTCCCTTTATTTCTTTATCAGCGAAATATAAATTTGGTGTAAAATGGGGTTTGTCGTGAATGCGACTGCTTGAGGGCTCCTGGATTGGAGCTGAAAGGCGAAAGGGAGCAGAATGCCCACACCCCCCCCCCACATGCTCGGGTAGACCAGGTGTCTCGATAGAAAAACACTTTATATATTTTTTTATATATATATATATATATATATATATATATATATATATATATACACACACACACACACACACACACACACACACACATACAGACAGACTGTCTGTGTGTATATATATATATATATATATATATATATGCAAAAAATTAAAATCTCGGGTGTTTTCCCGTGTCATATTAAATATATATATATATATATATGTAGGTCTTTGGTTATTCGGGTCTTCTCCCACGTAAAATTGGAAGTGTCTTGGCGACGTTTCAACGAAGTCTCATTCGTCATCTTCAGGCTGGTGTTCTCGGCTTCGTGCTTCCAGGAGCAATTTGCCGAGAACACCAGCTGAAGATGACGAATGAGACTTCGTCGAAACGTCGCCAAGACACTTCCAATTTTACGTGGGAGAAGACCCGAATAACCAAAGACCTACATACAAACACCCGCGAAAACCTGAGAAAAATATATATATATATATATATATATATATATATATATTTATATATATATATATATACACACACACACACACACACATACAGACAGACTGTCTGTCTGTGTGTGTATATATATATATATATATGCAAAAAATTAAAATCTCGGGTGTTTTCCCGTGTCATATTAAATAAGTTAGTTAAAATATTTAAAATTCTGGTTAAAATCCTAGTTTAAGAAAAACTTAAGACCACACACACATATATATATATACACACACACTTGAGAAGACATATATATACACACATACAGACACATATATAGACAGACAGACAGATGTATGAATGAAACTTCAGGCAGATTCCCGACATTCTTTCCTGCTGTCTCCTCCTATTGGCCTCTTGCGATGATACCCTTGTTATCTGACATGATTTATGATGGGAGCCTATATATCATTGATCTGACATGATAGGATTTATGGTGGGGATGACTGATGGCCCCGTCTCTCCCTGGGCCAGTGGAGGAGGCTCCCTGTTCCCATCGTCTCCTCCTCTGAGGGAGTCCAGGGGGAAGTCCAAGGCTCGCGGGGGTGGGGGGGGGAGTTAAATTTCAAACCCCAACCGTCGCCGCCCCGCCTGAGGCCCCTCTCGGACCCCCCCCACCCCTCCCCTCTGTCTGCAGCCCTTCCTCCGGCCAAGGGCGAGTCGAAGCTTCCCAGCCGGGAGGGCAGCCGCGAAGGCAGGGTGCTCGGGCCCCGTCGGGAGGGAGGCCTCGGGCGGACGCCCACTCACCGGACGACGGACGCCCGCCCGGCCCGCCCAGCCACAGCCGCAGCGCCCCCGCCGCCGCCATCTTGCCCCCCGCCGCACAAGGGCACCGGCCGGAAGCGGAAGCGCGGCGCGGGAGGCGGGACTTCCGGGCTGGGCTGGGCTGGGCTGGGCTGGAGGCGGCGGCGCTGCTTCTTCCTCCTTCCTCTCCCCTCATGGCGGCCGAGCTGGGCCAAGAGGCCGAGGTGGCGGAGCTGCAGCGGCTGGTGGCGGCCGAGGAGCAGCGGGCGCGACTCACGGCCCAGGTGCGCTGTGTGGGGGGGTGGGAGTGGGGGTCGGCCGGTGGAGACCCCTCCCCTTTTCAGGCGGGGGGAGGGGCAGGGGATATGGGGAAGGGCAGGAGGGGCTGGGGGGGCAGAATGGGGGAGGGGCTGGGGGGCAAGAATGGGGAGGGGCAGGAGGGCAGAATAGGGGAGGGGCTGGGGGCAAGAATGAGGGGATGGGGGCAGGAGAATGGGGAGGGGCAGGGGGGGGAGTAGTATGGGGGAGGGGCAGGAGGGCGGGATGGGGGGAATGGGGGAGGGGCAGGAGGGCAGAATAGGGGAGGGCTGGGGGCAGAATGGGGAGGGGCAGAGGGCATAGGGGAGGGGGGAGGGGGGGAGGGCAGAATGGGGAGGGGCTGGGGGGCAGGAGGGCGGGGGAGGGGAGGGAGGGGAGGGCAGGATTGGGGAGGTGGGGGCAGGGAGAATTGGGAGGGGGGCAAGAATGGTGGGGGCAGGAGGGCAGAATAGGAGGGCTGGGAGCAGGGCAAGAATTGGAGGGGCAGGAGGCAAGAATGGGGGAGGGGCAGGACTGGGACAGAATGGGGGAGGGGCAGGACTGGGGACAAGAATGGGGGAGGGGCAGGACTGGGGACAAGAATGGGGATGGGCAGGAGGACTGGGGGGCAAGAATGGGGGAGGGGCAGGAGGGCAAGAATAGGGGAGGGGCGAGGAGGGCTTGGGGAAGGTGAATGGAGTGGAGCGGGCGGGGGGACTTGGGGAAGGGTGGGAAGAGAGGGTGGCTTGGGGGTTGACATCAGGGGCTGTTGGTGAGCACGGCCTCCCCTGCTTGGCTCCCCCTTCCAGGTCCACACCTTCATGGAGGCCTGCTGGGAGAAGTGCGTGGACAAGCCCGGCTCCAAGCTCGACTCCCGGACCGAGACCTGCCTGGCCAACTGCGTCAACCGCTTCATCGACACCACCTTGTCCGTCACCAACCGCTTTGCGCAGCTCATGCAGAAGGGCGGCCACTGACCCGGGCCCCGGCAGGCTCTGGGAGGGGGCCCTTCCCTGGTCAGCCTGAGGAAGAGCCGGTTGGCTGCCGATTGGCCCTCGGTTCCCCGACTGGCAAGAGAAGGAGACTTGGTGGAAGAAATGCCCGACTAAATCAGGAGGCCACTCCAAGCAAGTGGACTTGCAATATTGGACCGTTTTCCTCCCTGCCTGGCAGGAGAAATAGGAGTAATTGCACCCAGATGGTGTTAAACAAGCTCACTTATCCAATTGAAGGAGTCTTAATATTTCCGTTATGCACAAGGGGATGTAAAGATTCAGTCCAGTAACGTTGTGCACAGAACGATTTGGCTGGATCCAAAGCTGCTGTCAATATCAGCATGAGAAAAATGTAATTTATTCTCCTTTACTGGGAGATGGATCAAACATTTACTTTATCCAGCTATGGGGTATGTTTGTACAAAATGAAAATCCATCATTAAATGGAGAATGGTTTCTTGAATAAGTCTGGTTGTCTGGCTTTGCACACTATACCATCAACTAACCACACAAACTAAATCCACACAGCAGACTAGAAAATAGCACTTTGGCCTATAAAGCTGCATCTTTAGAGAGGCATCTTTAGATGCCTTTTCAGAGGCATCTTCTGAAAAAAGTAAAGATAGAAAAAAATCCACCCTCGACCCTCTGGAATTCCTTATCCTTTAGATTTGTTTTTGTTTTTTTTTTCTATGCTAATACATTTCCTTTGAATGTAACCCAATAATCTTTGTTCCCACACCACAAATCAGAAATGCGGTTAAAGACAGCCTGTTTTTTGGCTAAAGTCAACACTGTTTATTTCTGCAGACCATTTAAATCAACTCATGCCAGTGTTTTTGTATGTATAAAAAAATAAGTTTTTGAGTTTTCATAGAAATAATCTCAATGGCTTTGCTTCTCGTAAGCAACAATTATTTCCAAAAATACTTTTTATATCCCTGTACACAAAGGACCGGAAAAAAAAAAAAAAGGAAAAAAAAAGCCCAGCTTATTATTCTACATTTTAGAACAGGGTCATTCCACAGACGTTCAATATTAGACAAATGTGTTCAGGGAGACCAGGAAAAAAAGAAGAAGTGTTAAATACAAAGTTGGCAGAAGGTTGAAGGGAGTATTTTCCAAAACTTTTGTGAAGGGCAATTGGGGATGGGCAGCAATAGAGAACTGTTCTGTGTTAGTGCCTTCAGTTTTCAACAAACCTGCTCAGTGTATTTTTGAGGAGTAAAGGCATATTTAGCAAATCTCTTTGTTTTGTTAATCTCAAGGCTTCCCCGGTATTTCAGGAAGTACAGTGTGTTAAGGAAGCTCTGAACTCTTGACAGGGTGCCCAGTCTCTCTCGCAGAAGTGCAGTTGTCTGGGGAGGTAGGAGGCAGATGTGATTTGGGCTGTACCCTGGGAATGTTCTTCAGAGTCCTTCCACAGCCACTTAACCGACATTAGAAAAGCATGGAAGAGCTTTACCAAAAACAAAGGAAGAAATGCTACCCATAACCTGGCACTTAATTCGGCACCGTACGCAAAGATAGATCCTCCCCTGTGGCTCATCCTATTAATGGCTGCAAGACGCTGAGGGTTCGGCACTTTCTCCGGAATTAACTTCTGGCAGCAAGGGATAATTTAAGAAGAGGACTCAGCCAGCCAAGGGCAAGTGAATGGATAGGATGACCTGCATTCTTCCAGGCGGGGAGAGGCAGGGGCTTCCCGTTACTTCACGAGGTGACCCCTTAGCCCGCCCTGAGGCTGCAGTGGGGTCTGCATGGTTTACTCCGAGCCACTCTGCCCCCTTACCTCTACAGGAGAGGACGCGTTCAAATTGGAGAGCACGACCTGCCTACCGCCTCACCTCTCTCCCTCATGCTTTTATTGCAATTTGTCTGCGAGTCTTCGCCAATAAAAAAAAAAATTAAACTCCAGGTGATTTTCAAAGGCAAAAGGGGGAAGACTAAACCATCCAGTGTTCCTGCCGCCTTCGAGAGCGGAGCTTTGCCATTGGAAGGTCCATCCCGATTTGGGGGGAGGGCACAAAGGGACTGTCCGGCTAGAATCCGTGGCAGGCAAAAGGAATCCAAGCCTTTGTTTTTTCTCTCTGGCCCACGGGAAAACTCAAATTAACCCCTGCCCCTGCCAGCGGAACCCAACCCGAGTTTGTTCCAAGCAGGGCTGTGTCGGGAGGAAAGCTCTGTCCTGGAGCTGGGTTCTAATCCTCCTCCGAGCTGTCCTCGGAGTTCTCGTCAGCTGCTACTTTCCAGTTCTTCCTCTTGCTGCGCTTCTCCGGCGCCCTGTCGCCCGCTCTTTCGGACAGGGAAGCCTGGCGCTTCCGCCTCTTCCTGGCCGGCTCCTCTGAGTCACTCTCCCCACTCTCCCGGCTGGAGAGGCAGCTGCTGGCTTTGCTGGAGCCGCTGCCTGGATCCAAGGAGGAGGCGGGAGGCCCCTCTGAGGCTTTCTTGCTCTTCGCGTGGCGCTTCTTCTTTCTCTTGGGGGGCTCTCCCTCCGAACACTCAGACTCCTGGGAAGAAGCCGCCCCCGTCTCACGTTTCTTCTTCTTTTTCTTCTTGTGAGATTTCTTTTTCTGCTTCTTCTTGTGTGACTTTTTGGCCTTTTTCCTTTTGTGCAGCTTCGCGGAACTCGGCTTGTCCGACTGGGATTTTCTTTTGCCATTCACGGAGTTTTGTTCGTCTGGTTCCCGGTCACTGCAAAACACAAGCAGGATGCATTTCAGTTTGGGGCACCTTGTCTGAAAGTTTTTTTAAAAAAAAAAAACTGGCCGAAAGCAACAATTGTGGTTTTTAAAAACCTTTCCTAATCTTCTTTTTAGCTGAGCCATGACCGCAAATGTCTAAGCCCAATTAACATTTCATACTGACATTTCTTATAGGTTCACTTTTAAAAAACTGGGAACCCTACTGAACGAAATGAGGTGAAGAAAACTTTTATCAAGTCATTTGTGATTTATTTGAGGTCTCCCTGCCCTAGCCCAGTCATCAAAGAGAAGAGTCAGTGAGGCTTTGCGCGTAGAAGGAAATGTCCATGAACTCACATGCTGCTCTTAGACAGAAATTTAAATTAGTGGACAAAACCAAACCATAAACCAGAGCTTGGATAATCTGAACGAACCAATTTTCCTCCAGAGTGCGGTGGGGAAATTATACTTGGCGTAGAAGCAAAAGTTTTCAACAGTACCGTGTAAAGAAAAGGACAGACAGAATGCATAAATCTACTTTTAATGGACTATTTTAATCTCCAAGGGAAACCATTTAGGATTTTGGTATTTTAACGCTTTACCTCTCTGTATCAAATTCTTCTGGATACAACTCTTTGTAGCCACTGTGACCCCATCTGTAAAAAAATTAAGAAAGGAATAAGCACGCGAAGATCACACATAGTGTCTTTATGCAGAAAAATCGCTGGAAGAGAGGCCCGTTATCTTTTATAATAATAATAATTATTATTATTATTATTGCAAACCTCCCATTTATGGGATAGTACCTGTCCGGCATGTTAGCTTCGCATTCGTAGAGTTTCTTGTTCCAGTACCGGGCGTGTCGAAGGTCATCTTCAATGGTCACTGCCATAACCGGCATGTTCCTTGTCCTGCAGGTCGCCTGCTGGCTGTCCTCATCAAAGCCATCGCTACGCATCCGGCTGCTGCAGAGACCACGGGAGAGAAGTAGGTAAGCTTTGTGGGGAAAGCTGCTCTAGCTGGAGGAGTCAGAAACAAGATCCATCACACTGCCCCCCCGGCCACACACCCCCCCCCCACCCCAGTGATCCTGCATTAAACCAAAGGACCAGTTTCACCACTTTGGCCGAACTAAAAATCTCCTCCCTATAGTTGGCATTCTCCCCTAAGGCAGGACTGCCACCTTTTGACCCACAGGCAGCTCTACTGTTTTCTAAAAGTTACAGTCTTTAGGAAAACAGGAGTTCTGCCCTTCCCTGTTTCATGAAGGCTTGAGGGCTCAAATGGCCAGACTCGCTTCTGTTTTCGGGACAGACTGAGCAGCCAAATTAGCCTGAACGGCAAGAAGTGGAGTCCCTTGGAGAGCCCGTATGCAACGTAATTTCATTTTAATGTCTGCCGATTAGTATACATTCAAAGATACAATAAAGTTAGTCTAAGTCAGGGGTCTGTAACCCAAAGTCAACCCAAACCCTAAGTCAGGGGGTCTGCAAAGAGCCATTTGGACCCGTTTCCCACAGAAAAGAAAACACCGGAAGCCACAAAACTTGGGTGGGCGTGGCCAACTTGACGTCACTCACTTCCACCAGTCACATGAGCCCCCCTAGCCATGCCTACCATTAGCTGGTCATTAGGGCAGAGAACCAGTTGTTAAAAAACACCGAGAACCACAAAATCCTTTGGACATCTCTCTCTCTCTCTCCTTCCCCCTCCTCCTCTCTCTCTATATCTCTCTGTCTCTGCCCTGGATGCTTCTCCATCCCCCGCCATTGCCCTTATCTTCTCAGGCCAGGCGAGGAGTGACCGGGGTGGGGGGGAGGCGAGGGGCGGGGCCAGCCAGTGGTGGGATCACCCGACGGAGACACAGCAGAGGGCCCAAAGAGCCGCAGGTTGCTGACACGTGATCTAAGCCTAAGCCTCTCACAAAGGGAAGCAAGGCATTGCCAGCTGTTTGTGAGTGATGCCCCTTTAATAATGTTAAAATCCCACCTGGAGCTGTTCAGAAGAGTCCTCTGGTCTGTGCCCCAGTGTATCTCTTGGCTCTGCTTCTCCATCTCCCGTATTTTCCACATTTCGGACTCTTCCTGAATCTGAGACGGGCAAAAAAAAAAAAGAAACAAACACGACTGAGGAAAAGTACAAGCCAGGGTGCTTTGCTTACCCATGAGGAGGAAACCGGCCCTTACCTTGTTGTGGGCGTCTGTGTGGCGAATGACATTCCGCAAAAGGACTTTTCCCAAGGGGACGCGGGACATCTTTTCTGCACCAACCAGGCGGCAAAGAAAATGCCCTGGAAGGAAGGAAAGTGGGAAGTAAGGGAGGAAGAAGACGGGAAGGAGGAGAGGGAAGGAAGGAAAGAGGCAAGAAAAAGAAGGGGAGGGGAGGAAGGAAGGAAAGGAGGGAGAGAGGGAGGAGAGGGGAAGAGGGAAAGGAAGAAAGGGAAGGAGGAAGCAAGGAAAGGAGGGAAGAGGAAAGGAAGGAATGGAGTAAGGAGAGAATGTCAGGAAGCAAAGAAAACAAGGGAAAGGGGAGGAAGGAAGGAAAGGAGGGAAGAGAGAAAGGGAGGGAGGAAAAGAGAGAAAGAGGAAGGGTCGGAGAGGGAAGGAGGAAATGAAAGGGGAGGAAGCAAGGAAAGGAGGGAAAGAGGAAAGGAAGGAATGGAGAACAGGAAGGAGGGGAAAGACAGGAAGCAAGGAAAACAAGGGGAAGGAAGGAAAGAAGGAGGGAAGAAAGGAAGGAATGGGGAAGAGGAAGGAGAGGGAGGGACGGAAGGAAGGAAAAAGAAAAAGAAAGAAGTGAGGAGAGAAAAGAAAAAAGAAAGAAAGAAGAAGGTAGGAAAGAAAGAAGGAAAGAAGGAAGGAAGGAAGGAAAAAAGAAAGGGAAGAAAGAAGTGAGGAGAGAAAGAAAGAAGAAAGAAAGAAAGAGGAAGGAGGAAAAAGAAGAGAAAAGGAAGAAAGGAGAGAAAAGAAGGAAAGAAAAAAGGAAGGAAGGAAAGAAGAGAAAAAGGAAGAAAGGAGAGAAAAGAAGAAAGAAAGGAAGGAAGGAAAGAGAGAAAGAAAGGAGAGAAAAGAAGAAAGAAAGAGGAGGAAGGAAAGAAAGAAAGAAAGAAAGGAAAGAAAGGAAAGGAAGGAAGGAAGGAAGGAAAAGGAAGAGAAAAAGGAAAGAAAGAAAGGAAAGAGATAAGGAAGGAAGGAAGGAAGGAAGGAAAACGAAAGAGAAAAGGAAAGAAGAAGTGAGGAACGAAAAGAAGGAAGGAAGAGAAGGAAGGAAGGAAGGAGGAAAGGAGGAAGGAAGGAAGGAAGAAAGAAAGAAAGAAAGAAAGAAAGAAAGAAAGAAAGAAGAAAGAAAGAAAGAAGAAGAAAGAAAGAAAGAAAGAAAGAAAGAAAGAGAAAGAAAGAAAGAAAGAAAGAAAGAAAGAAAAGAAAAGCGAGAAAAGCGAGGGAGGCCCCTTCCCGGCCACCCTCAGGAAGGCGAGCAGGCCCAGCCGAGGGACCACCTGCCCCTTCTTGCCCTCCGGATCCCCGACCAGCCTGGCGGGGCCACCGCGGGACGGAGGCGGCCTCGGCCCCTTCATCTCTGGACCTACCTCGCGGGGTTGGCGGTCCGGCCACCCGAGGAGGGACGGGAGGCCGCGTCTCAACCCGCGGGCCCCCCGTGGCCGCCGCCGCCGCTTCCCTTCACCCTCCGCGCCGGACCCGGGACAGGAGCGCGCCTGGCTCCGCTCCGCCACCGTGGCTGGCCCAGGCCCGGAACCCGCCAGCGCGGCCGAGCGAGCGAGCCGGCCGGCGGAAGGCCGCCGGAACCACTTCCGGTCGGGCCGCTTCCGGGGTTGCCATGGCGACCGGCGACCGAGGGGTGGGGGGGATTTAGCCGCGTCGCCCGAACCCGGCCGTCCCATCGGTAATGTGGGCTCCTCCGCCTACGGCTGGGGATGATGCGGCTGGAAGCAGTCTCCGGGGCCGAGGCGTGGGGAGAGCAACCCCATCTTGCTTGGGGCGAGGGCGTAAAGCAGGGGTCTCCAAACTGGGCCACTTTAAGACTTGTGGACTTCAACTCCCAGAATTCCTCAGCCAGCAAAGCTGGCTGAGGAATTCTGGGAGTTGAAGTCCACAAGTCTTAAAGTGCCCAAGGTTGGAGACCCCTGGCGTAAAGGGAGGCCTCCTCCATTTATATGGAGAAAAGGGGGTCCCTAAAGCCCATCTAGTCGTGGCTTGCTTCCTTTGCCGCCCTTCCTTCTTCAACAGGTGCATCCCTGCCAGGAGGGGCTCAGGGTCCCTGCACAAAGTTGGGGGGAAAGGGCGGGCATCATACCTGGAGCCCTGAAGGATGATGCCCAAGAGGAGCCTTTTAAGGGCTTCTTCTCCCCTCTTGGCAACTTTTAAGAGGGGTGGGCCTCCCCTTCAACGCCCAGAATTCCCCAGCCAGGATCTGCCTATGCTGGCTGGGGTTATTCTGGGAATTGAGCCCACCCGCCCCTCGAGGGTGAAAAAAACGCTGCCCAAGAGGCATTTTGGCTGGATGGGAAGAAAAGAGGGATCTTATGAGAGCAGCCCCTGAGACCCTCCGTCGCTGCCCCTTTGGAGGCCAATCGAGTGGATGCCGCTGCCTCCGACGGTCCTTCTGATCACTTTTTCCACATTGGTTGCCTTTCATCAGAGGGTTAATAATGGTACTCGGTGGTGAAATCCCATTTTTTTTCTACTACAGGTTCTGCGGGTGTGGCTTGGGAAGGATATTGCAAAATCTCCATTCCCACCCCACTCCAGGGGAAGGATACTGCAAGATCTCCATTCCTCCCCACTCCAGGGGGAAGGATATTGCAAAATCTCCATTCACACCCCACTCTGGGGCCAGCCAGAGGTGGTATTTGCCTGTTCTCTGAACTACTCAAAATTTCCGCTACCGGTTCTCCAGAACCTGTCAGAACTGCTGGATTTCACCCCTGATGGTACTGTTTGTGTTTTGTTTCGTGCCATTCTTGCCAATACCACGAAGAGGCCAAGGGGAAAATAAAGCTCCTGTTTCTGTACAATCCGGCTGGTTTTTTTTAACTAGACTGGGCAGCCTGCCAGAACAACACAACCTGATTAGCCAAACTCATTCGTGCCCACCCGGTGATGTTACAAGCTAAAGGTTAGAACTTCTGAAAATACATCCACTTTTTTTCTTTATCCAATTAGGTTTAATACCAGCAAGAGAGGTCCTGCAGCATCATCCGAGACCTCCGGATTGAAATATTTTCACTTAACCTAGGACGGCCTCTACAGAAGCATCTTTTTGCCGTGAAGGAACAGCCATGGAAGCTCTTTGCAGCTCCGAGGAGATGCTGACCAAAGCAACTCAGCTGTGGACGATGCTGGATGACATGGCCGAGAACAACCCTAAAAGTTACCGCCACTTCATGCAGCAGCAACTAAAGGAAGCAAAGCAGCATTACGCTCCGCCGGAGCCATATCTGTGCCTGAAGACCAGCATTTTGGTATGACAACATTCATTAGAGAAGGGGTGTCAAACTCGATTTCACTGAGGGCCGCATCCAGGGTTGTGTTTGATCTCGGGGGGGGGTGGATGCGGATGGGCACGGCCAGGGTGGACGTGGCCACCTTGACGTCACTCATGTCAGGGGGCACCTGTGGTGGCTCAGGCGGGGCTGGGGGAGATCCTCCTGCAGCCCTCTGCCAGTGAAAACAGAGCCCGGGAGGCCCATGCGCAGCCTTCCCGAGCTCCATTTTCACTGGCAGAGGTACTTATTCAAGAGGCAAATGGATTTTCTGGGGGGGTGTTTGAAGATGTTTCGCTTCTCATCCAAGAAGATTCTTCAGCTCTGACTGGATGGCGGGGAAGCAATGTCTTCAAAGAAAAACCAGAAAGTCCACTTGCCTCTTGAAAAAGCACTTTTGGGACAACCAAGACCTGGATGACTGAGAATCTCCATAGACTTGCTTTGACTTTTTTTTTTTATAATTAGATTTATATGCCGCCCTTCTCCGGAGACTCAGGACGGCTTACAATGCGTTAAGCAATAGCCTTCATACTTTTGTATATTTATACAAAGTCAGCTTATTGCCCCCACAAACTGGGTCCTCAACTTACCCGCCTTAGAAAGGCTGGAAGGCTGAGTCAACCTTGAGACCTTGGAGAGATTCGAACTTGCAATAATTGCAGACAGCTGAATGTTAATAACAGGCTTTTTTTAGTCTGTTGAGCTATCCAGGCTCCTGGATAGCTCAACAGACTTCAAAATAATGCAGGGGGTTTATATTTGATAAGTGCTCTCTTGACTATTTCCTTGTTTGCACCAGGCATTGATAAGTCAGTAAAAATTATTCCAGATGCACCATCATCTTTTCAGTCAAAAGGAGCAGTAAAGGAGGCATTCCTTGAAGTGAATATCCCGATTGTTAATTACATGAAGGTGTCTGTTTTAATAAATCATGTAATGTTTGGGTGTTATTTTGTTTTGTGCTTTTCTCATAGAAACCGACCAAAACCTGCCTGTTCATAAATCTGTGCCGTTGGAGTAGGATCCCAGCTCCCAAGTCACCCTCGGAGCCAGTTCTGTTGAGCGCTGGCAAAATGGAGACGCTATCAGATAATTCAGGTAATCTCTATGGTATTACAAAATCTCAGTTAACCTGAGCCTACTGCAGGAACTTCTACAAGCAAAGAGATATTGGGCATGGATAGCAGTTAAGATATCAGGAATGAAGCTTACATGATTCAGCTGGTCGAGTCGTAAACTCAGGCCAGGATACATTTGAGGAGAGAATAAACTTCCATGCTGCCACTATATTTGCTTTTCTCGTAGAGATCTGCAGCATTCTTGACATGGCATACAATCCATCCGTTCTTGAGCGAGTCGAGGATAACTCCCTGGAGAAGGATCAGTTGATCCGCATGTCACTCAAGTACGTCGAAGAGCATTTCAACGTCACTTTGTCCCATTCCTGGAGCATGGCCAAATTTAAATTGAAAGGAAGCCTTGAAAGGATGAGGGAGAGCCTGAGAAGAGATCAGCCCCAATTGGCTGTGCCCCAGAGGAACCCCAACAAAGGTAAGCAACATTCAAGATGCCACTGCAGGGGGGAAGGGGGCTTATCCTACCCGTCTTATGCATTTAAAGGGAACCTTCTGAGGATTTTAACCCTCCAAAGAGGGGCATGAGCCCCCACTATAGGGATATGCCGTTTTCTGAAGGTATTTTGCACCAGCTTTTCATAAGGCACTGAAAAACGCCTTTTAAATAGGCAATTGCTGCCTGACAATTGTTAAATGCTGGGAAACGTTTTTCTTTAATGGATTTGTTTCTAGTTGTCCCCTTATGAGAGGGTGGTATGGGAATGTGAAAAATAATACAATATGAAACATTGCACTTGGCAAGTTCTATCTGAAGAGTTGTCCTCTTTCTTTGAAATAGATGGGAATGGCTTTCTAGACACGCGTTGAAAAGCGTGTGTGTACACCATATAGAAATGTGTTGCATTCTATACATATACGATTAAGTGCACAATTGTAGCAGCCAAGATTTCTCTCATCAGTTAATAATTTTAGTGGACCGTAACTACATCACTGCAAACAATGGAAATGGGAGAAGAGGCAGGAGCCCTGGTGGCGCAGTGGTTAGAGTGCAGTACTGCAGGCTACTTCTGCTGCCTGCCGGCTGCCTGCAATTTGGTAGTTCGAATCTCCACCGGCTCAAGGTTGACTCAGCCTTCCATCCTTCCGAAGCGGGTAAAATGAGGACCCAGATTGTTGGGGGCAATAGGCTGACTCTGTAAACCACTCACAGAGGGCTGCAAAACACTGTGAAGCGGTTTATAAGTCTGAGAGCCATTGCTGTTTAATTGATGCTTTTGTTCTGTAGCAACGCGCTCCACTTACTTGTCTAAACTCTTCCGATAATCCTCTTGCAAGGAGTGACACTCAGCCAACTGAGAAGCCTCACGGCCGAAGACAGCAGTGGCCTTTTTCTGCCAGTAGCAGAGAACCCTGAAGCTTCCAAAAAGCGTCTAATTGAAGAGATCTCCACCACAGACAAGCCAGAGGCGCCCCAGCCTGCCTACGAAATGACCACCAAGAAGGATGCAGATGAGAAACCCTTAGAAATCGAGCTGAAAATTGAACTGCCAGAGGTTTGCGGTGTATCAGAGTGCAATTTGAGCGTCTCTAAGGTGAGGCAGCTACAAATGGAGTATTATTCGCACCCTTCTCCCCAGCTTTTGCCCAGCCAGACCCATGTGAATCTCAGATGCCTCCCTGCATCTTCTTTTCAGGATGATGTCTTGGTCGAGTGCCTTGAAAAATACAGGCTGCGGGTGGATCTTCCAGCGCCTGTGGATGAAGAAGCAACATCAGCAACTTTTAATAAGAAGAAAGGAATCTTGCTTGTCAGAATGCCCGTGTACAAGGGAAAATGACGTTCGCTGATGCGGTGTGGGAATACCCCCACTCCTCGTGATTCGCTTCCTCTCCTTTCCAGCACTTCCCATTCAGCCTTTTGCACAGGTTAATATTAAGTGTTATTGGTTACACGCCTGTATTTTCTCTCTCTTTTGAGTTTTAAGGCTAAAATTCTTGCTGCAAAAACCCAGGATAAAATGCACCCCTAAATACACGCTTTAACATTTGAGGACTGTTCTGAAGGCATAGTTTCTACTGTAAAAGATTAACAAATAAATGAACTCTGTATCATATTTTCCCCCATTAACAGAAACAATAAAGGAAAAAAAAACTAGTTTTCCATCATTGCTGGATTTAAATTATTTTTAAACAATTCTGAGAACTTCCTGTAGTCTTAAGAGATCAGCTTACATTTTCTTGGAGAAGCAGTGGAAAATACCGTATGGGTGGAACACTTGAATCCAAAGCCAACTTGTTCCTCTTAACTGCTTATTCTTTTAAGCCTCCCGTGTTGTTTTGCCATTTTAACATAAATACACCTTCAAAGAGTGCTTAAAGAAATAAGTGGTATCTGCAAGCGTGGACAAAACATTCACAATTACCTCTGCAACTGTATGTTTGAAGTTGTGCTCAAATAAAAATGGGCATACCTTTGGTTATGGCTGCCATATTGCCTTTTACTATACCCCAAGGACACAACTGGAAGGACGCAATTCCTTAACAACAGGCTCGTTCAAGTGCGGAGTATTGCAGAGGAACTCTCGTACCTTTTGGTTCACTTGGATTAAAAAAAAAAAAATCACTAAAAAATTCAAAATGGCTCCAGAGTTAACAGCAGAGGCCAAGTGTCATTTCACTTACTTGATATTTATCCATTTTTGCTCACCAAATAATTATATTCAAAGTCTACCCACAGCTAAGCCAAAAAAACTAACAGTCAGGAAAAGGAATAGCAGTCCAAATAACATCAAACTTTTAATGCCAATCTGTAAATTAAGATGTTTTAAAGCACTTTTCTTACCAAAGGGTTGAATTACAACCAAACTCAACAAATTGGTTCTCAGAAAAAAAAATATTTAATTGCATGTATATATATTTGTAGTGGATTCGGTAGCGCAAATTGACAAAGAGACAATATTGAATGAAGTGGTGATGTACAGATTAACATGGGGTGTATCGGTCAATGGTCTACTCGGCTGTTCAGGTCACACCACTTAGTCATTACATGATCCACCTTTTAAAATTAGCTTTTTTTCCTTGGCAAGCAAAATAGGCGTTTCCCATTAGAATCCCAGCATACCTAGGACACAATTAAAAAACGTGACTGGGCCCCATTTTGAAGAAATCTCATTTCTAGCGAAGATGTTTGCAAATTTACGACTGGTGAAATTCTGTTTCTCTCGAGCCTGGGACGGACAAGAAAGCAAAGCTGTTCCAGAATAACAAGTCAGATCCTGCAAAAATTGGCTCTGGATTTCTTGGGATCTGAAGTGGTTTGTGCCCAATTGTCCTACTGATTTCAGTGGAATTCAAGCACAATAATTCCCACCTGGTTGGGCCACTTGATCCCAAGGCATCGGGGTTTTTTCCTTCTTTCTTACAATTGGTTCTCACTTCAGCTATTCTGAGGTCAACGTCCCATTTTAAATGCAAGACTGCTGGAGGCCAGGTTCAGCTGCAATACGGGCTGATTTTGAGAACTGGAGTGCTTCATGCTTAAGACAGCCCATTTTGCAGGGGAAACGGCAGCTTCCCGTGCGGGATGGGACATTTCACAAAATTGCACGCTCAAACGTGGTAGGAAGGAAAGATTTTTTTCCCCTATATTCCTGCACGCAGCCCTTGCTTAAAATGATGGAACTGCGCCCCCACATTCCTTTCAGTGGGACAATGGCCCCAGTCTGCCCAGTCTAGACCATTAAACGGGGGAGGAGGGACCTATGGGGGAAGGACCTGTAAGGAGTCCATATATTGCCTATCTTTAACTGACCCCCGTTTCACCAGTTCCCTTAACAAATGACTTCTGTTTGGAGTAAAACAGCGTTTACTGACCTAAAGGAAGCAAAACAACACATGCTTAAATTACAGAAACTCACATAAGGCAAATCATCAGAAGGGTTTCAAAGGGCTGTTCGGTTTAGGTGGTTTGACTCAAACGTTCGTTTTCTCTTGCTGGGTGCTAAAACGATTCCCCGTTGCTCGAACGTCTGACTTACAGCTGAATTTTGCAAAGTTAGAATGTCAGCTGCTCCGTTCTATTCCAGGTGACCCCATTTTATTTTATTTTATTTTTGAAGCATTTGGAACACACGTGGAAGGTTAATTTCTTGTTCCTGCTGAAAATTTAACTTGTCCCAAATGTACGGTTCACTTTTTTTTTTTCTTATTTTATCTCAAATCCCTGGTTTTATTGAAAACGAAGGCTGAGCCAGCTAGCTGGTGGGGCTGGGAGGCCGTGATACCCTGCACCGTTGTGATCAGAAGTATTATTACAACACATGATTATTTTCGACAACTGGGGAAACTTCGCCAATCCACCCACTGAATACGATATAGCGCAGCTGTACTTGGCTTCGGAAGGCCACCTGCAGAACCTTTAAATCTCTATGACTGGTAATCCAAAATCACCAGCCGCTGTTTATATAGACTTTTTTAAAAAAAATAAAAGAAGGAAACATTTTTCTTTTAAAAGTCTAACCCTTCGATATATAAATAGCTTCTTTAGAATGAAGCGATTGGGTCGCCAAAGTCCTTGAGAAACTATAGCAGCATCGTGGAGGGTTTTTCCAGGAATCGCTTGAACTCTGCGAGCCACTGGGCCCCCACGGCCCCGTCCACGACGCGGTGGTCACAGCTGAGGGTCACAGACATGACGCTGGCCACATCGAACCTGTGCGGAAGAAGGGGAAATGCTCTCTTTAGTATTTTCTCGTACACAAAATATGAAATACCTGTTGTGGTCCGCCAGCAGCCTGTGGACCTGGCAGCGGAGTCAGACAACGATGAGGCTGAGGGAGAACAGGGGCCAGTCCTGGAGGCTGGGGAAGGACTGGATGAGGGCTCTGTGTCGGAGGCAGAGATGGGGCCAGGGCCATCGGGGAGTTATGCGCAGACTCCAGAGCCTCCAGAGGCTGACAGTAGAGAGGCAGAGGAACAGGAGGAGCCTGTTCCTAGTGCGCGCATGCACAGAGCTGCCAGAAGACACAGTTAAAACAAAAAGGACAACTTGGGAGTAAGGCCTGGAGATGATTGACCCTTCCCATAAGGCCATAGGACCAGCAACAGCTTTTGGCCTCTTTGCCGGAAAACAACCATTGACAGATTTGCTTCGTGTTTGAATGTATTTCTTGTCAGCGTCTTCTGTTCCTGAACTGTTGCCAAGAAAAGCCTTTGGCAATTTGCCTAATTATCCCAAGGTCAGAAATAAACTGAAGAATAGTGTTTTGAGAACTTTGCTTTCATTTAATTTGGAATACGCTGAGAATGAGTTAATTCTCAGCTGTTTTAATAAAATGTTTGTTTTTGGAACTGTTTTGCATTTAATATTAACTACATGGGCCTGGGTCACAACAATACCGCCCCCTCTCTTTTCATCAGATGCTGACTTTCCACTGAAACGTTTTGTCTTTTTTAAAAAAAAGAAAACATTTACCCTTTTTCATTATCCGCTGGCACCAGCCTTCTCTCCGAGCCCCCAACTGCCAAGATACAAGCCTGCGGTGGATTGATTATAGCCGAAAAATTCTTAATGCCATACATTCCTAAATTTGAGACTGTGAAGGTTCCGCCCTGCAAAGAAAGAACACACCTTAAGGCTGTGGCACAAATCACTGGCGTTGTGAATTAGAAAAGGCAAAGGCGTCGTAACCAAGTCTACAGAACGCCTCCTTTGAGCCACCCAAAGGCAGAGGTAGTTTAGGGAAGGTGCCTCACCTGGAACTCGTGGGGCTGAAGCTTCCCTTCCCGCGCTTTGCTGGCCAGCGTCACGACATCTTGGTTAATGGAGGCCAACCCCTTGGTGTGTGCATTAAATACAATTGGCGTTATAAGCCCCACTGGAGTACTGACCGCCACGCTTACATCAACGATGTGATGTCTGAAAGACAGAAAGTGCGCCCATTGGCGAGAATCCGTCAACCAGTCACAAAATCCGGTTGAATAAATATGGCAAGATGTTTCTTGTAATAACTGTCTAACTGGCCTTCCAGGAGGAGCCAAACCTTCACGCCTCTGCCGGGACCATCTGTGTACTTACTTCCTAATGACTGTTTCTAACCATGAAGAATTCGCTTCAGGCACCTTCAAACACGCCAGAGCCGAAGCTTTAATGATGAAGTCGTTGACTGACAGCTTGGTATTCTGTGGCATCTCCTGCAGAGGGAACAGCCAAGGGAAGAAATGCTGCTCAAATTGATCAGTCGGCAAAGTTACCGAAGAATTATTCTCTCCAAACTGGGGGAACCTCTAGAAACAACGGACTTCAATTCCCCCCCAGGATTTTCAGCAATGTCCCAGCTGGCTGGAGAATTCTGGGAACTGAAGTCCACATATCAGGAAGGCACCTAATTCAAGAAAGCCAACAGCCAGATGTGTGTAATCCTATTGCCATCAAAAGTACAATAGTTGTGATTGTGCAGCCAGACTGACCCAGCCAAGAAAACTGGGGATTCCATTCAGACCTTGCTGTTCCCGTGCTTTCCAAACTGAATGCGCCTGTTTTTTCTCAAAGCCAATTTAGAGAGGGCTGTAAAAGCACTGTGAAGCGGTATGTAAGTCTAAGTGCTATCCCTATTTGTAAAATTCATGTCTTCCTGTGGAATTAGCCCTGAACGAATGATCTCTCCCTTACATTCTCCAAATCCTAGAAATGCAAACTTAAGGAAATATCCGCAGCTAGCTAATTGGAAGGATGGAGAGTCAGAGGCACATAAACACCTAGTTTGCTGCATGAGTCCCAATCGTTAAGTTACCTGGTTGAGCTCTTTCCTCAGCACCAATATTTCCCCCATGTTGACATCAACAGAGAGGTAATAGTGAGGTATTGTTTGCTTAGACTGCATCAAACGCTGGGCAATCACCTATAGAACAAAGAAAGCAGGATGCGAATAAGAAGGCAACTTTACTTAAAAATAAAGTTAATTGCTTTAATATAGACCAGACTAAAGCTGGGAGTTTTGGTGCACCATTTTTCAAATATCCAGAAAAGCAGATCCCCAACTATTAAGTCAAAAATGTCCTCCAAATACTTGGTCCCCTGATGTGAGCTTTGTCTAATCATTTCTGGCTAATTCTTACTCCAAATTTCTCTGTCCGGATTAACAGTCCAAGAAGAGTGAGGAGGTTGATGGATTAAAATCCCCCATCAACACCACCAAAGGAAAGTCCCCAAGTTAAAACCTGGCCTCCACCCTCTGCAAGGACTCAACAGAAGTCATCCCAAAGCCTCTTCGTGGGTCTCAGTTAAAAAAAAAATGATGTAGTGGTTACAGCACCAGGCTAGAAACCGGGAGGTCGTGATTCTAGTTCTGCCTTAGGCAGAAACCAGAGCCAGCAGGCTAACCTTGGGCCAGTCTCTCTCTCCCTCTCAATTTTAGGAAGCAAGCAATGACAAATCACTTCCAAAAAACCTAAGAGAATTGCAGAGAATTGTCCAATCAGA